CTGGAGTAATTGCAGATGTCTGCCGATTCACTGGAGCGTCAGATGGATTTTGAAAAGGTGAAGTAGGCATATTAACAGGTATGTCATCTACAACGGCCACAGGTGCAGTATCTTTGGAACAATCGCAAGCTTCTGGAGTGGGTGTTGAAATTGATGCTTCCTGCGCTAGAAGCTGATCTAATTTATTTTCTGAAATGGATACCGAGTTGCTACCTTGATCAGTCACAACAATCATCTCCATCTCTAGAGATGTTGTAGATGTTCGTCTACTTACTTGAGCGCTTACCGATGGTTGTAAGAGTGATGGGGATTTATTAGTAGGTAATTCATACTCTGTCACAAGCGCAACAGAACAGCTACTACTACCTTCTGGAATAGATGCTTCACGAAGAGAAGAAGATGTGGAAGAAAGGTAATGTTGACGAAGTTTTTTCCAGACGTAAAATAGTTCCTTAGCCGATTCGTCACCTTCCCATTGTTCATCTTTTATGGCTTGTCTAAATTGTTCTGTTCGACCTTTTCGCATAAAAGATTCTAGCAACAGAATTGTTTCTACTCCTCCTGTCTCTGCAAGTGTTGGTGCATTGCGCACTTCATGGTCCATACATTTGGTATAATCAACTGCAGAAAGGTCAAAAGGGTAGATTCCACATCTTTTAAATCCATTGGAAATGATTGCAGGCGTAACTTTCTCTTTGAATACTTTTAAAAGAAGTGGCGCAAAGGTAGCTCTAGTGATGTGTCTATTGCCACTGTTTCTTTTGTATTCAAACGCGATGTTTTGCCAACCACTTTTCAGGCACTTGAAAAGTGATACATCAGCGGGCTGGGTAATATGTGTTGAATTTGGGAATAATGCATGTACTAGAATTTGGTTATTTGAGCAATATTCTGCCACTTGCAAAGTCATGTGAGATCGGTGACCATCTATTAAAAGTAAAACAGGTTTCGAAATCTTATTGTTCTTTAGCCATGGATCAAATACATTTACTATATATTCATAATATAGAGGTGCTGTCATCCATCCTTTTTTAGACTTTCCTATAGCCCAATCTGCTGGAACGTTGTGGGCTATATCACTAGATATACGCATCAATGGATATACAACCATAGGTGCAACTAATTGCCCAGCTGCATTCAAGCAGGCCATCACAGTAAGTTGCTCCTTTTCCTTTCCTGACTTAACTTCAAAAAAATTTTTCATTCCAACTGGTCCAAGAACTCTACCAGATTCAGGACAAGTCTGAAACCCTGACTCATCTGCGTTGTATAATCTTGTAGGATCCTCTAATATTTCCAGGGCATTCTCCTTTACTAAATATTCTTTTACTGAATCGAACCATCCTCTTAAATCAGACACTAGCACGAGCTGTTGATATGCTTTCGGCACATCTTTCTTTAATTTGCGGGTTACGTTTCAAAAATAAATCAAACCATTTTCGGCCTGGACAGTTATTTTTAAACGGAGTTTTTCTATTATCTGCTTCAATTATCTTTTTTACTGTATCTACTAAAGTTTGGCGTTTTAATGGTATTCCCTTTCTAGCATTTGCTATAATATAAGCAACTAGTAAATTTTCTTCAGCCTCTGTTAGGAAAGTGTCACGTCCCATCTTTCGTTTTTCAGGTACCCTCCCCTTTAATTTATTTATAAGAGTACTGTGTGGAACGCCAAAGTGGCGAGCAGCTTCTCGTATCTTAAATGTACCATCACGCACTGCTTTAATAGCAGATTGCATAGCAGTATCTGGGCAGCGTAATATTTTCGCATTTTCCTTTCTTTTCTTTACTGGAATAGAAAATAAAAGGAAAATGTACACACCAACACCATTCAATTTAACTGGACAAGCATTGGCAAACCTCGTTCCTAAAGCTGACCACAGCAAGTAGGCACAAAATTTAGCACTGGTCAACTATTGGACAAGCATATCTTACAGCGGTCATGCTTTAGGTGAAATTAACGAAAATATATAATAACATAAGAAAAACAAAAAAACTTTACATTCTTAAATATATGTTTAAGCCAAAGCTTGACCACCATGGACAGCTTTAGGAGCACGATTAAAATTTCGGAGCCAATGGATAACCACCCCACAAAAATCAGTTATCCACAAAAAACAGCATAAATATTACATTCAGCACTTTAACAAACTATTACCCTTAAACCCTATCGCATTAAATCAAAAAATGCACGAGAAAATACTCAGATGAAATAAGATTTACCAAGAAACTCATAAAAAACATTCTTACTAAATCAGATGTGTACTTACCGGGCGCCATCTTCACTTGCAAAGAACTCGGATTGGTCAACCAATAGCGAACTTACTCGTGTACCACGTGACAGTAATAGTGTTGTCAACATGAACGACAAAAAACTGCTATCAAAACCTGCCATTTTACGTTAAAAAAGGCTAAAGTGTGTGTTTTGGTCAACTATTGGTGCATGGTCAGCTAATAGCACATTGACCCTACTCTGGACTGAAATTTGCTAGGCAACCCATATGGATTATATTTATTGACATATTAAATTATATATAAAATAAGTTTCATTAAATAAGCATCTCGGTGAAGGTCGTTGTATAGCGGGATCTTAGACCAGTCTGATTTGTGTTCTTTAAACACATCTTTCAGGTCAGCACCCGTAACACTCTCAAAAGAGCTCCAGCACTAAGGCTGTGTCAGGACAGCGTCTGATTTGTGTTCTTTAAACACATCTTTCAGGTCAGCACCCGTAACACTCTCAAAAGAGCTCCAGCACTAAGGCTGTGTCAGGGACTGCGCCTGATTTGTCTTCTTTCAACACATCTTTCAGGTCAGCACCCGTAACACTCTCAAAAGAGCTCCAGCACTAAGGCTGTGTCAGGGACTGCGCCTGACTTGTGTTCTTTCAGGTCAGCACCCGTAACACTCTCAAAAGAGCTCCAGCACTAAGGCTGTGTCAGGGACTGCGCCTGATTTGTGTTCTTTCAGGTCAGCACCCGTAACACTCTCAAAAGAGCCCCAGCACTAAGGCTGTGTCAGGGACTGCGCCTGACTTGTGTTCTTTCAGGTCAGCACCCGTAACACTCTCAAAAGAGCTCCAGCACTAAGGCTGTGTCAGGGACTGCGCTTGATTTGTGTTCTTTCAGGTCAGCACCCGTAACACTATCAAAAGAGCTCCAGCACTATGGCTGTGTCAGGGACTGCGCCTGATTTGTGTTCTTTCAGTTCAGCACCCGTAACACTCTCAAAAGAGCTCCAGCACTAAGGCTGTGTCAGGGACTGCGCCTGATTTTAATTTCTTTCAGGTCAGCACCCGTAACACTCTCAAAAGAGCTCCAGCACTAAGGCTGTGTCAGGGACTGCGCCTGATTTGTGTTCTTTCAGGTCAGCACCCGTAATACTCTCAAAAGAGCACCAGCACTAAGGCTGTCAGGACTGCGCCTGATATGCGTTCAAAGAACACATTATTCGGGACAGCGCCCGTAATACTCTCAAAAGAGCACCAGCACTAAGGCTGTCTGGACTGCGCCTGATATGTGTTCAAAGAACACATTATTCGGGACAGCGCCCGTAATACTCTCAAAAGAGCACCAGCACTAAGGCTGTCAGGACTGCGCCTGATATGCGTTCAAAGAACACATCATTCGGGACAGCGCCCGTAATACTCATAAAAGAGCACCAGCACTAAGGCTGTCAGGACTGCGCCTGATATGTGTTCAAAGAACACATTATTCGGGACAGCGCCCGTAATACTCTCAAAAGAGCACCAGCACTAAGGCTGTCTGGACTGCGCCTGATTTGTGTTCTTTCAACACATCTTTTAGGTCAGCACCCGTAACTCTCTCAAAAGAGCTCCAGCACTAAGGCTCTCAGGACTGCACCTGATATGCGTTCAAAGAACACATCATTCGGGACAGCGCCCGTAATACTCATAAAAGAGCACCAGCACTAAGGCTGCCAGGCCTGCGCCTTGATAGATAATATTAAAGCTTGTTCAGTGCATATGCGCTTAATAGATAAGCTTGTTCAGTGCATATGACTGCAATAGATAAAATTAAAGCTTATTCAGTGCATTTGCCCTTAATAGATAGAGTTAAAGCTTATTCAGTGCATTTGACTGCAATAGATAGTTAAAGCTTATTCAGTGCGTATGCCCTTAATAGATAAGCTTATTCAGTGCGTTTGCCCTTAATAGATAAGCTTGTTCAGTGCATATACCCTTAATAGATAATAGCTTATTCAGTGCATATGAATGCAATAGAAAGTTAAAAAGCTTATTCAGTGCATATGCCCTTGATAGATAATATTAAAGCTTATTCAGTGCATATGCCCTTAATAGATAATATTAAAGCTTGTTCAGTGCATATGCCCTTAATATATAATATTAAAGGTTATTAGGAACTAAACCTTTATGTAAAAAACGTTTAAATAGATGAAAAATTGGTAGGGATAGGTTTTCAGCACACTGTGTCAAAAAAATTGGTGAGATTAGATCGGGTCCTCCCGATTTACTGAGATCTATATTTTTTAACAATTTTTTTTTTTATTGGGTTGTATTTCAATTGTTGAGATGTGAGAGATACTGTCTTGCTGTGGTAAAGATAAAGTGGTATCCGAAATGCAATCACAATATGTAGACTTGAAATATTGAACAAACAAATTAGCTATATCTTCACCATTGTCTGCTTTGAGATCATTATAGTACATAGTACTAGGAAAAGCATGGTCTCCCCTTTTACTTTTAACATATGACCAAAAGCTTTTTGGGTTATTACTAATAGAGTTCTCAGTTCTTTCAATAAAATTTGCAAAACATTCTTTTTCGAACTTTTTTATTCGCGTTCTTAAGATAGAAAAAGATTCATAGTCCGACAGGTTTTTATAAATTTTTAAATTTACGGTGATATTTTGATTTCTCCCTGATCATTTTGATAAGAGGTAATGTGTACCACGGGGGGTATTTATTAGTTTTATGATTATTTATTGGTATATATCGATCACGAATATTGTACAAAATTTCATAGAATTTTGATACCGCTTTCAAGGTCATTATCTGATAAAACATTGATCCAATCCACGCATCTAAGTTCATTATTTATTTTATCGTAGTTACCTTTGTTATATAAATATCTTACATTAGTGTTGTCCCTCAAAGTATCTGAAACTAAGGATTTTACACATATGCACAAGGTTCTGTGGTGAGGGTCTTCTACGGTTAATGGGTCATCGCACGCAGTTACTACTTGTTTGTTAGATAAAACGAGGTCCAATATTCTACCATTAAAGTTTTTCACGTAATTGTATTGGCACAAATTGCACACCTCTAATGAATCTATAAATTCAATTTGTTGCTCTCCGGAGTAACAGCTTGGAATCACATGCAAAGAACCGCTACCACCAAATTCCCAGTTTATATTTCCAAGATTAAAATCACCCAGGATAATAAATGTATCCTGATGATTTTCTAGGACAACTTCATTTAAGCTCTGTGTAAAGTTATTTAACTGAATTGAGTGTGTGTTACCGGCGTTTTCGGCACACAGATATAAGGTACAAATATGAAGGTTATTGAAGTGCCCATGTTCTTTTCCGAATTGTGCAATAGTGATCCAAATGTCTTCAGCTGACGATCTCCACTCTACCCGTTCTCTTACACTAAGATTACGATTCACAGCCAGCAACACCCCTCCGCCCTTACTCTGCTTGGTTTTGTCATAGTCTCTGTCACGTCTCCATATAACATATCTACTATCAAAAATTTCACTGTCATAGACGCATTTGATGCAATGATCATTTGCAAATATTTTGGCGGAGCCTCTAAGTCCTAATAGGTTGGCGGAAAGGGAACTCTCCCTGTTAAATGATCTGACTGCCGCCACAAAGTTCTCCTTAACATACCTGCTGTTGAAACACGCAACAATCGGCTTCGGATGATTAGAATCCCTCGATGGTGTTCGGGCTATAAAATTTAACTGCTGTTTTGCCACAGCATAATTTACTTTAGATCCTATGCTTACTATTAAATCAAGCAGGTTTTTATTCGCCGTCTGTGGTACTCCCTTTAACTCAACGTTGTTCATTCTATTCCATTGCTCAGCCGCATCCTTTTCACATTCTAAGACATCAACTCTGCTTTGTAAATTATTAATTAGTTCTTTGGTTTTTTCCACATCCAAAAGCCTATCCTCTATATTTTGGAGTCTTAACCCAAAGTCCTTTACAATTGTGCTAGCTTCTACGACTGAGGATTTTAGCCCAGAAAACTCATCTCTCACTTTATCTGGCTTACTAATTCTTCGAAGGCTGTCATTCTGGATGATAGGGTTTTTATCTCTTCTAACAACTTACGTGATGATTCTTGCATTGGAGAAAGTGTCGGTGTATTCATTTGTCCACCTGATTTACACTTAGGGCATCGCCAAGTAGATTTTCTATCACCCAGTTTTCGATATCCTCCCTCTGTAATTCCTATACAATTATAGTGGAAAGTCTGTTTACATGATGAGCAAACTGCCCCATCAAGTAGGCATTCATTGCATTCCCCACATTTCGACATTGCTGTCTTGTTGTATGTTTTATAGATATCAAAGTTAGAATAAAGAAAAAAGTTTAAGAATCACGTTCAATTCACTTCACTTAACTTTGATATTTAAATATACCAATTAATCGTAGCTTAATAACAGTTCCTTTACTTATAGATATTTAATTTCGCGATACGAATTTTTGTACACAAGGATACGTCCTGTGCGTAAGGCGTTCCGCATTCACATCATTCGGGACAGCACCCGTAATACTCATAAAAGAGCACCAGCACTAAGGCTGTCAGGACTGCGCCTGATATGTGTTCAAAGAACACATCATTCGGGACAGCATCCGTAATACTCATAAAAGAGCACCAGCACTAAGGCTATAAGGACTGCGCCTGATATGTGTTCAAAGAACACATCTTCCGGGACAGCGCCCGTAATACTCTCAAAAGAGCACCAGCACTAAGGCTTACAGGACTGCGCCTGATATGTGTTCAAAGAACACATCTTCCGGGACAGCGCCCGTAATACTCTCAAAAGAGCACCAGCACTAAGGCTTACAGGACTGCGCCTGATATGTGTTCAAAGAACACATCTTCCGGGACAGCGCCCGTAATACTCTCAAAAGAGCACCAGCACTAAGGCTTACAGGACTGCGCCTGATATGTGTTCAAAGAACACATCTTCCGGGACAGCGCCCGTAATACTCTCAAAAGAGCACCAGCACTAAGGCTTACAGGACTGCGCCTGATATGTGTTCAAAGAACACATCTTCCGGGACAGCGCCCGTAATACTCTCAAAAGAGCACCAGCACTAAGGCTTACAGGACTGCGCCTGATATGTGTTCAAAGAACACATCTTCCGGGACAGCGCCCGTAATACTCTCAAAAGAGCACCAGCACTAAGGCTTACAGGACTGCGCCTGATATGTGTTCAAAGAACACATCTTCCGGGCCAGCGCCCGTAATACTCTCAAAAGAGCACCAGCACTAAGGCTTACAGGACTGCGCCTGATATGTGTTCAAAGAACACATCTTCCGGGACAGCGCCCGTAATACTCTCAAAAGAGCACCAGCACTAAGGCTTACAGGACTGCGCCTGATATGTGTTCATAGGGCACATCATTCGGGACAGCACCCGTTATACTCATAAAAGAGCACCAGCACTAAGGCTGTCAGGACTGCGCCTGATATGTGTTCAAAGAACACATCTTCCGGGCCAGCGCCCGTAATACTCTCAAAAGAGCACCAGCACTAAGGCTTACAGGACTGCGCCTGATATGTGTTCAAAGAACACATCTTCCGGGACAGCGCCCGTAATACTCTCAAAAGAGCACCAGCACTAAGGCTTACAGGACTGCGCCTGATATGTGTTCATAGGGCACATCATTCGGGACAGCACCCGTTATACTCATAAAAGAGCACCAGCACTAAGGCTGTCAGGACTGCGCCTGATATGTGTTCAAAGAACACATCATTCGGGACAGCGCCCGTAATACTCATAAAAGAGCACCAGCACTAAGGCTGTCAGGACTGCGCCTGATATGTGTTCAAAGAACACATCTTCCGGGACAGCGACCGTAACACTCTCAAAAGAGCTCCAGCACTTAGTCTGTGTCAGGACTGCGCCTGATTTGTGTCTAAAATTGTATTAATTGATATTGTGTCTAAATCTCAGTTTGGCCCTCAAATTGTAACATTTCAATGGACTAGTATGTTATACATATTTCTATTTTTTAAATTAGCTCGAATATTTGAATGGGACATTATTAAAATAAAACAAATAATTTTTAATTCAAATTCGTTTCCTTGTACGAATAAATAAAATGTATAAATAAATAATGATTTTATCAGTCGATGTGCGCAGTATATTAATGTATTTTGTATGTGAAAATATTTTGTTACAAGTTTTTAAAATTGTATTTAAATTGTTGTTCAGCTTTAAACCATTATAACTCGAGATCCAACCCTCTTCTTCTGCAGAAGGAAAGTCTATTGAGCGAACGATTTGTCATTCTCATTCCTGAAATTGCTATCCAGGTTGAGGCCAGTGACTTGGCGGAACCACGAGTGGAAGGGTCCTGGTCGAATGAAACCTGAAAGTTTTAAGAACATTGGAGTATATAGGGTTATCAATTAGGCCTTCCCTCTATATATGCCTATCGATGACTTAACAAAAAAACGACGGGTTGCACTCTGGTCTTCGGGAATGCCGGCAGAAGTGAATATTAACGTTGTGCATTTTTGTTATTTGGGAAAGGTTAGGGAATAATTTTGCACGAATTGCTTTAATTATCAGTATAAAAGTACTATCATTTATGTGGTATAATACAATATTTATTTATTGCGCTATCGTACACAAACATGACAATTTATATTACATCAAATACGCCGCGCCAGCTGTCTACTCTCCATCCGTCGTAAGTCTGACCAAATCTAAAGTATAATAATGAAGCTTTAGACGTTTCGCAAAATTAAACCTTGATTTATTGACTTAATCCAATTCCACGTGCATTAATGTATCTGACAAATGAATTAAATCATAAGTGATATTTGAAAACATAACAAAATAAATAAATATAGGCGCTGAAATATGCTCATTATACAGGAAAAAAGCCTATATAAATTTGATTTTTAGATATAAATGCAATGCCCTATTATAAACTTGAAGTTACCATGTTTGTTACAACGGTTACGATGTTATTTCCATTAAAATAATGGCAACTAAACCCGTACCAATTTAAGTCCACGTTTTATAAGGCCGATTTGACATGAAACTGACCTCCAGGATGTCCAGAGTGGCAACCTCCAGATGCAACTCCAGCTACGAAGGAGGTGACTCCCACCAAGGTTGGGACACCGTCTTTGTATTCTACTAAGGGACCACCACTGTCACCCTGCAATAAAATTCTTTTTAAAAACACTGCGTAGGTGTTTCAATTGTTTAATATAAACGTGAAAATTATCTAATCCTGAGATTCTTCAAATTCGCATTACAAATTGGCTGAAGATAAAGTTACTTAGCGACAGGCGTTACCCCCTAACACCAAACAAATTAGTATGGAAATGACCTGGCGACCAGATTCCTAAAAAAAATTTAATGTCCAAAAACTGTCAACCATTAGCCCGACCTTTGTAATGCATAGCCTGAAGACGTATATAGATAATATATTATTTTCGTATTTAATTAAGTGGTAAGCTTCCCCACTACTTTAGTATAAACCTATACAGTCAAACCTAGATAAGTTTAGAACTCTGTAAGCAACAGAAGGAGTCAGTCTCACATATAGAGGTCTATAAAACTACCGAAAACAATAATAGACGCACATTTGCTTTGAATTAAATAAGAGTCCCTCGAAATTTAAGAATGATTCATAAATAGCAAAAGTATAATGCGTTTATCTGTCGCTTACAGAGGTATAGGCAAGTCAATCTCACTTATAGAGAGTCACTTGTACAGGATTCACGTTTCTCACTTATAGAGGTTAGGAGAGCAAAACGACGCGACCCGGTAAATACTCTCATTGATAGTATTTTCTCGCTTACCCATTTGTTATTTACTCAGGCTTGACTGTAATTCATGTCCCTGTGGAAAAAATAATGAAATATTTGCTCAATACAATCACATACCTGGCAGACAGATTGTGAGGTAATGTTGTACCAGCGTGCGCAGATCGCATTACCGTTGATAAGACGAGAACCAAATAACTGGGAACAGTGGAAATCATCGACACCGCGAAGGTAGGTCCACTGTAACTGATCGGCTGCTGGTCCTTATAACATTTATTAACAACAGTTAATGCCAACAATTAAACAAGTATATAATATAATATATAATAGTGGGGCTGACAGATAGAGAAACAAGGATGTAATAGACTATACAATAAGGTATATAACCTTAGATTCCTGTATCTGATTCGTGATCAACTTTTTATTATGATAAGCAATTTCTTTGCCTGACACATATCGATGATTTCCTTTTTTTTACGATTAAGAAGCTAAAATGATGGGAGGAGGAATGTGCTAAAGAAATAATTAGAAGATATACCATTTGTCCAGGTCCTTCCCCATCCGCTAGCAATCAGTCTCTCATTATCGTAATTCCTGTAGGAATCCCAGGATGATTGGAGTTTGATACTTTGTAGGTTTCCTGGAGTATAAGGCTCATTTGAAATGGTAATACAATACCTATAGTCCGGTCAATTTAGACATTCGAAGGTGCATAAAATCTTTCACAACTTTTTGAATCGTTATATCTCAGAAACGGTGGCTCGTACGAAAAAAGTATTGGTACATTTTTTATAGTAATTTTATGATCTACAATTTTGTGATAAAACTTACCGGTTTGCTGAAAATCGCAAAAAACTATTTTTTTTTGAACTTTGATTTTAAATAAAAAATTTCCATACACGGGAATAACGGGATCTTTTAAATATTATTTATAATTTATATTTTGACCAATTTTACTGATTTTCAGCTTGATTTGATTTTTTGTACCTTCACTCTCATTTTTTGGTCTAGATAGACCGGACTACTAACCCTGTTTTCATTTCATCAGAGCGTTAACACAATCTGACAGAAAATGAAAAAAGTATTTAAGAATTGAATTAATTTATTATTATTAGTATTAACATAAGATAATAAATGTATATCATTGTTGCGGTGATTCGCAAAACTGTATTACGAAACTTTATAAAGTGGATACCTACTTGAAGAGAAAAACACAAAGGGTTCTCGTGATAGAAAAAACATTAGATCATCAATCATTCAGATTCATGTATCTGCTTCGGTATCTGTTGATCATTTGTTTTTTCTTAATATACATGTGTCCAGCTTTGTGTGCGTACACGTAGACTTTTTAGGCATGGCGGTTTCCTCACGATGTTTTTCTTCACTGTAGACCCGAGTGTTAAATGCGCACATAGGAATGTCCTTTGGTGCACAACCGGGGTTCGTATCTACGACCTCTACGATCTAGGATGCGAGTTGCACGCTCAACTAGGCTACCTCTGTTCGATTTAAGTAAAAGTATCGTAAAAAAACCACGTACTAGAAAAAGTCATGGCCATGGACAGTCTAATAAGAGAAACGTCATTGGGCTGCACTGCTCCTGGCTGGCTGCTGATATAGGTGGGGTGGTTGTACCACTCCCACGAATCCCAAATATACTCCGCTGATACAACACGTGTTAGACCTGCGCGGACGGTCACTTGAAGGTAGCTGTAGAAAGTTTTAGTAAAACTTATCTTTTGCTACATAATTTTAGTAAGTGATTTTAGCTTTAGTAGCTGCAGTAAAGTAAAAGTAAAAAACTGTAATAGTAATGGGCGGGACATGACACGACAACTATAAGAGAAATTGTAAAAATAATATAATCCTTGAGACATAAATTCACATGTTCCTTAACATTCCTCTTTGTACCGAAGTTTGTTGGCGATTCTTCTGCTGGCTGGGTCATAAAGCAATTTCGCGCTTTTTATGAATATAAATACACATGATATCTTACTACACTCTTCCTTGTGATATTTCATGAATTTTGCCGAATCTCCCTACTAACCTCCCCCACCCCCCCCTTTCGAGCCTCACGTGATTAATAGACAGCCCCTTTATTAAAAGAACCGAATGATGTTAAAAGAAAATGCAATAGAAATTATGTTATTTTCATTATAAGTAATAGATGATTGTAAAGTAATATTATTTTATGAATCTTACTTAGCTGTGCAGTGCGCGGCTGTCAGGACCCATGATTGGTGTATAACTGACCCTCCGCAGCCAAGGAGCTGTCCTATATTATTACGTGCCCGGAGAGAGACCTGGTATGGAAACTGACCAGGTAAAGCGTCCCATCCTGATACTATACGGCCCGGATTTAAGTCTATAAATGCAAAAACAAGTTTATTTTAAGGACGAAATAGAATGTATTAAAAATTAAACATTTGAAAACACTAGGAAAACTTTTAATCCTATTTATAGTAGTTTTAACTGGCATATTATTTTTTACTTTTATCGAAAATAAACTGTTTTAAATGTTTGACCAATAAATTATTTTTGTTATGAAATACCTATTTTTAATTTTAAAATTGGATGAAAGTTTGTAGCCTATACCTAATTATATTTGAGTAAATTATATTAATTATAATAATAAATATATAAATCCTAATATACTTAATATATTAGGATTCATATTAAGAACAAAGTTGAAAGAGATAATTTATTATATTAATATAAATTTTAATCAGCGCCCACGATGTGCATTGACGTCATAAATCACGTCCTAACTATCTCTAATCAAAATGAGATATTATTTTAATATAAATTAATATCTTATATTTGATTTAAAAAAATATGAGAAATGTATAAACAGTTGTTTATCTGTATTCAAGATTAAGTAGATTAGATTAAGATTCATTAGGCATAGATATTTATTCGTATCCCCACTTTATTAATACAAATTACAAAATAAACCTTATTACAGATTGAACATTAAATAATATACTACCGATTATCGTAAAGTAGGTACGAGCTTCAGAATTAAAGCGACAGTATACATTTAAGCCTCACACAAAGTTTTTTTTGCCATACATGAGATTTATGAAGACGCAAATATTACTCTCCTAATAATATTTTATTACAGATATTACTTTGGCAAAGTAACTTACCAAATACTTTGGCGTTTTCAACGAAATCTACACTAAGGCGTTGTACGGAAGCCTGAAACAAATTAAATCAGTTAGACTACTTTACACAATAGGTAAAGACCCAACAAAATATAGAAATATGGCAAGATACTAAGAGGTACATGCAGACCGAAGGACTTGTATCTATAGCCAATTATTAAAAATCATTCTCTTTTTTAAACCCGACAAACTTGTCTTCTGTTCTAACTAGAATGGCGTATGAATTTAAAAAGGACTGACCTAATTCCACAGTTTTAGTAAACCTACTGCCGATACCGCCAGTAAATAGATTGTAGAATATATACATTATAATATACAGATACATATAATTTATAAATAATATAATTTTGCTTTGAAAAAAAAATATCGCTATTCCGTGCTATATACATAATTCTATATCATCACAATATCATCTATTTAACGAAGATAGGTGTTTAATTTTTCGCACCAAATACATTACAAGGTATTATATATACAAACTAGTTATTCATATTATATTCCATGATTAATATTATTCATAACTTACCGCATGGCTCACAAGCACTATAAAAAGTACCAGTTTGTACCACATTTTGTCACTAATTAAAATCTAGACTTCTCTGATTAAATTACTTAATTACAGATTATGAGAAGATAATTACAATTAATTCAATAATTTTGATAAAATAATTGATAACATATAGAGCATGAGTATTTCCAATGTTCTCTTGGTAATTTTAATCAAATTAAAGTGCAAGAGGAATAATGAAATATACTCCAACAAAATAAATTATTATGTCGCATTGCCAAATAAATAAAAAAAAATCATAATATTATTAAATTGCTGAGGTGTACAATATTTTTATAGTATATAATACTATATTTTGAAAATTAGTTATCTTTTGTGCTTAAAGAATACTAAAATATGTATGTATTTATTTATTGTCCACCACTTATTACGAGTGGAACACAAAGAGTATCTCGCTGTTTCATGGTTACAAACCTACGTATAAAAATAAACATTTTATTTCACAATTCGAAAAAAAAAAAAAATGCACAATTCCTATAACAGAGGATCGGTTAGACAGATTTAGGAAAAATTTGATATTTAAAATGCCATTTTTGCGTAGTAACCAATGCCCTAATAATTTATATAGCACATTCTTTGATTCATTTATTGGTGAATTCAAAAATGTGTTCAATCCAAAGACTTTTTTGGTCTCGGAGAAACCTACCTTTTGTGATTGGGCAACTCCGGAGCTACACAAAAAAAGGGTAAAATTGTATGAGTTGTATGATGAAAAACAGTATAATGACAGTGAAGAATTTAAAACTTATGTTAGGATATTCTCAAAAAGTTTTAGGCAAGAGTGTAGAATCGCTAAGGCGAAACACTTAAGTCTTAGAATAAACAACAGCTCTGATAAGATAAAGGCTACTTGGAAAATTATAAACGAGGAGACTGGAAGAACCTCCAGAAAGGATACTGAATTTAAAGTGAACATAAACGGCAAAGTAATTAGTTCCGACCTCGAAGTAGCCTCTGCATTTGAAGAGTTTTTTACTAACATTCCTTTAAATACAACCAGCGTTTTAAATTCTTCACCATTAGCCGCCCTTTTATTATTGAAAAAGAATGTTCCTGTATGCAATCATAAGTTTGTATTTAGCCGCATTAGCTGCAATGACATTATAAAAACATTTAAACAGCTAAAAATAAAAAAAACTAAAGATCTTTGGGGTGTATCTGTTTTCATTTTACAATCAGTAATCAATACTATCAGATCAGAGTTGGCTATAATATTTAATGAATGTATAGATTGTGGAGTCTTTCCAGACCAGTTGAAGATAAGTAAAATCACACCGTTATTCAAAACGGGCAGCACTTCGGACCCCACAAATTTTAGACCCATATCTGTGCTGCCGGCTTTGAGTAAAATCTTTGAAAAAATCATTCTTGAACAATTATTGATACATTTTAATAATAATAAAATTATGCATAGCCAGCAGTATGGTTTTACAAGAGGTCGCTCCACAGCAGATGCTGGCATTCAATTAATTTCCGAGATTTTAAATGCTTGGGAAAATTCTCATGATGCCATTGGAGTTTTTTGCGACTTATCAAAGGCCTTTGACTGTGTCCATCACGAAATCCTAATCAAGAAACTTCAACACTATGGCATTGGCGAAAAAGCGCTAAATCTTGTGGAATCATACCTGAGCGATAGAATTCAAAAGGTAAATGTAAATGGAGCTATATCACAGGGATCCTCTGTTACTATGGGAGTACCGCAAGGCTCCATACTTGGTCCCTTCTTATTCCTCGTCTATATAAATGACCTGCCATTTCTTGTAAAGGAGCTTCACGAGATGGTACTGTTTGCTGATGACACTTCGCTTTTATTTAAAGTGAAACGACAAAATCCATCACTTGATAACGTAAACAGTGCCATCTCCAGTGTGGTTCACTGGTTTAATACAAATAATCTTAAGTTAAACGAAAAGAAGACAAAATGTGTTAAATTTGTAACTACAAATGTAAAAAGTAGTCATTCTCAAATAATAATTAAAGACGAGGAAATAGACTTTGTTGATAATGCGGTGTTCTTGGGAATTACTTTAGATAGTAAACTCCAGTGGGGCCGACACATAGAAGGTCTTTCGAATAGGCTAAGTTCCGCAGGGTTCGCAGTAAAAAAGATACGCGATCTTACGGATGAGAACACAGCAAAGCTTGTTTATTTCAGCTATTTTCATAGTATTATGTCATATGGTGTTATTTTGTGGGGTAATGCAGCTGACATTAAATCGATATTTGTAGTGCAAAAGCGGGCTATAAGAGCGATCTGTGGGTTGTCCCCACGGGAGTCGGTCCGAAGCAAATTTAAGGAATTACATATTTTGACTCTGGCAAGTCAATACATTTATGAGAATATTTTGTATGTGCGGAAAAGTATAGATATCTTTAAAAAGAATAGTAGCTTCCATAATTATAGTACTCGTAATAAAGACAAAATTAGCGCACCAACCAGAAGGCTGCATAAAACGAGTAATTCTTTCCAAGGCAATTGTATACGTTTTTTCAACAAAATCCCTAGTGAGATACAAGCGTTGTCAATAAATAAATTTAAATCGTACATTAAAGTAAAACTGCTTGCTAAGGCTTATTATAATATAAATGAATATTTAAACGATCCTTGTGCTTGGATATGAGTTGCTCCAGTATATATTATAGGTAACACGACTGAATCTCTCGGCTGCATTTCCAGACTCTGGGGCGATCGTCAACATCCACGACTGTTTTAATGTAAAGTGGGAACAAACCGTGATCCATGTAGTATCCAATTATTTCAGTATTATTATTATTTTCTTATGTAGCCAAGTCCACATTTCAAGGATCGTCATGCTCGCTTAAATGTCATTGCTTGTGGCGGCGTCCATGCGTCGGGTTGTCTCTCTCCCTAAAATATGGCGAGGGGGCCGATGGCTGGCCATGCGTCATACTCGTGAACGGGTGCTACTTGTGGTGACTGGTCGTACTTGAATTCGTGTATGCGGTGATGTTAATTATTTCGACTATGTGTTTGCGTGTTGTTCCCACGAGAATGTAAGTGCGTGCTCCTATTTCACCATGCCTCCTGCTGATAGGGGACAAGTCTTTGTTTTTATTTATGTTATTATTATTAATTACTTAAAATGTCATGTGGAACATGGTGTAATGGTGTAATGGTTGCAGCTCCTTACAACCGTTGTGTTAAAAAAAAAAAAAAAACATGGCGATTAAAAAGAGTGGCGGAGAGTTTATTGCCAGTTCTTCTCTTCCGTTCTACGCTCTTGATTTGAGAACTGGCAGTAAATGTAAAATTAGAAGCATTAATATTTATTTCTTTAATGACGAATCACAAGTGTACATTGTGTTACCTACGTGAATAAATGATTTTTGAATTTGAATTTTGAATTTTGAACAAATGGTTTGCCAATTTTAACTTTTTTTATCAAACGGACAGGAGGCCCACCTGAAGTTAAGTGATAACGTCGCCCATGGACACTCTCAATGCCAGAGGGCTCGCGAGTGCATTTAAGAATAGGTACGGTCTTTTCTTGAAGGACCCTAAATCGAATTTGTTCAGAAATACTTCAATGGGTAGCAGGTTCCACATAGTGGCGCATAGCCGCGCACCTTGCGCGGTTTAAACTGTCTTAAATAACTGTTACCGTAGCAAGGAGAAAGTCGAAGCCCTCAGCCGGTTAGCCTTCAAACGGTCAGCGGGTGAGCAAGTAGTGGTAGGATCAGCGAATCCCATTACCAGCGTATAGTTTTGGGCCTTAGTTAAAGTTATTAATTGTATACTTTAGCTGTTACCAGATAGATTAACGCGGCCGTTCCGGACGAACGTCAAGCAACTGGCACTGGCATATTCGTCGAATAAACGGAAGATTTATAACTCCATTCGAGTCACCATCGTGGCTCAGATCGAGTCATCGTACAGTTTTTGAACGACGGACGTATGGAATTTCTTATTCTGCCTCGACGTTATGATGAAACTTAGCTGTAGGTATTAATCCGAACAAATTCTCTGAACACGAAGGTGATAAACAAGGATGGTAAATGCGGTAGAAGATGCAGAGAAATACCACGTCTCTACGCCACTAACCAACACAAGATCTGAAGCCGTTCGGAAAGTGACGAGTCGAACCGTAAGTGGAAGGAGCTGGTACGGGGTGCTCCCGCCCAGAGGTGAGAAACCAGTTGACATACAGCTGCAAGTGATGGCCCGGAATGAAGTACCTTCCGTGAAGTCATAATCCTTGTGCTGGGATGGAACGGAGGACTGACATCTCTCTTGTTTATTTCTGTTATAGTTTCTTTAGATCCCCTGAAAAAACCTTTAAACCAATAACCCACCAATGTAGTTGTCTATATTAGCACCCTGGGGCTTGGGACAAAATCACTTTTCGATTAGCACATCATTTCCATGCTTTGTTTGGTGTTAGTTGGTTCTACATGTCGTAAGGGATTTTGTCTCGGGGCTTGAGACAAATTTCTAAGTAACTTTGTCTCTGACTGTCAACGATGGTCACTTGAATTTGACATTGATATTTCATGTTCTATGTTGTCTATTGCAATCATTAGTCACTCGATTTGTCATCGAGATCTCGTGTCAAGTGTGTGTCAAGTGTTGAAATGGTCGTAGGACGATATTTGTGATTTTCTATTTAAATATAAAATTTAAAAAATTCTAGCAATGATATGGAGGGTTCTGCTAGGAAAGGTAAGTTAGTTAAATATAAAATCAATTTATTGTTTTACGTTAGATTTTAGTTAATAAAATGTTTTGTATGCTTGACATTGGATTTGTGTGGGCGATACTTGTTTAGTATTTAAATTATCTTTTGTTGTGCCTAAGCTATCACAAAGTAACGTGATTTTTACGTGAATAAATAAGTTGTAATTAATTTTTGTATCACTATGCACTACAGTAAAGTTTTCCTGACGCTATTATTAGTTTTCCTATAAGATAAATGATGAAACTGAAAGAATGATGAATATGAACAATAAGTAAACTCTTTTTTCTGTAACTAATCAGTTTATACAGATATTATTCCCAACTCAAAATTTTAATATGTCATCATCACAATTCTGATAAATGGTATTGAAATGAAAAATATATATTAATGTATAAATTTATTACAAGCAAAACCACTAATTTGTAGAAATAATTTATTTATCAACAAGATAGTACTAATGAATTGATTAGATTTAAATTATTTTACAATGTGTATGAAGGAGACAACTTTATAACTCCGGTCTTTGAAGTAAAAAATATAAGATTTTTAATTATTTTGTTTATTTCAAGGTATTCCAGATCACAATCAAATCAAAATACAATTTTTTTACTCTGCTGTATTTATTTACAGCTTGATTTTCCTTAATGTTTTGTTTAATAACATCTTTTTTAGAAATTATAAGTATTTGATAATTATACTCTTTTAAGAGGAAACTACAGATATCGAATTCCACAGTTCTATACATAATTTTCATTATTGGAGTGGTAGACTTTTACACATTTCAAATAAACTTTTGTTTTTTGTCTACTTTACTAAACCGGTGATACTAACCGTTTAGGCTTATACAGTTAACTATATAGTAAGGCTATTTTAAATAGTTTACTTGCTTTTTAAATGTCATATCATATACATTACAAATAGATTATGGCTATACTTTTATAACTCAGCTCGACTAAGAAAAGCATACATGACAATCATGCATTGCGTTTTTCCCGCGTGAATGTTGACGCACATCCTGCATACTTCTATCCTTTTATGATAAAATGTTATTTACTTAGTTTTGACGTTAAACGACAATTTAATATAAAGGCATAATGAAGGCTTGAAATCGGCGAAATAGATGTGTGCATGCACAATGACATAAGATAACATCAATAACAAAATCAACTTATGAAAGCCCGTGACTGTTTTTATCGAAGTATTCCATTCATAAGTCATTAGGCCTATGTTAATCAATAATAAATATTTTGTCATATTGAATATGTTATATTTATTAATTATTTACGAATAGCGCGCGTAATGCTCTAAAATGAATTAATTGGGATTAAGATTTTGAATATCCGCTACATTACGATAGTATGAACCATTGAGCTTTATATACGGTAATAGTGCAGTAACCCTTTTCTTTCTGTCCCCATTTCATGACAATGTAAAAGCACGACGATGCCCTAATTTACGCCCGTATAAGTTGTCGGGGTGAAAGGTTTATAAACAATAAGTAACTCTGCTATAGAAGGAGCTAGGGACCGTCTCTCCCGGGCTTTGAACATGCGCAAAGCGTCCATATTTACCTGGCCAATTGCAGCCATTAACTCGTGAACTTCTGACGTCTTTTGTTTTCCCCAAACTTAGAGGATAAGGTAAAACAAATACATTTATAATTTCACTATATAATTATAATTTTTAATTTTATTACTACTATATGACTTTAAGGAAGTTGTGTCATTGAATTAGCTAATACATTTGTATATAATATAATGTTAGCCGCACATTATTTAAGGTCAACTTATTGATTTAATTGGCTATTAGGCTCATTGATTTATATATGTCAGTATAAACATATTTTAACTGTAATACATCCGGTAAATTTATGTTATTTGACAAATATGAACAACATATTATAAGCGTGACTATATAGTATATAGGGGTACGAAAATAATTGAAAAAAAATAATTAAATATGTTAAGTTTCCGTTTGAGTCAACTATTTCATCGTTGGTAATTTAAATATGTTTTTTAATTAAAAAAACAACTTATAAATTAGTGTATGAATTCATAAGTTTTATGAATTCATACATAAAACTTATGAATTCAATAGTGTATTGTTGTGTGGTTTTGCTTATTAGAAAATTGATTATTACTGATTACTTAATAATTAGTATTCAGGGTAGCGATATCAAAAAGCAACGATAAGGCACACATTGAGGAATTGTTTTGGCTTTCGTAATTAATTTGACCTTGGCATGTATAAGGCTTTTAATTAATCCGCGTGAATCCTAGTCTAATTAAATAACTAATTGTACTAAACAATTCATATGAATTTAGTTTTGAAATATAAGATAATTACTGTGTAAAGTTTGATGACGCACTAGAATTTTAAGAGTAACATTCAGAAACGAGACTGCTCTAAGAATGACTTCCGGTTCGTCAAAAATGTATTGAATTTTGACATAAGGGAGTTCGGGTAAGTATGTTTTCTGAGCTCAACCCTTCAATTCTCAATACTCAAAGAATTAACGAAAAACCTGGAATAAGATTACGCCAGTATACATTTACGGCTAAAATTAATAATGTATCCTCAATCTATGATTATAACCAATCTTGGACTGATTCATATCTAAAGACCGATCTCCAATCTGCATGCCAATAAACATTTCTGCTATCCGATTGTTTATTTGACAAAAGATTGACAGCAATCTTTTGCGTGATCCTTCCCTCTCGACCGCGTTTCGTTCAATGCAATATATTGTGTTCAAGCATACCAAAAGTTTGCTGTTTTTGGAACGAAATAAAATAAGTAAGACTTAGGGTCTGTTTCACAATGTATGGATAAAGTAGCAAATAGCTATGCAACGTTTTTGTTTGTTTTTTTGTTACGAACAAATAAAGTTACAAAATTCTATAGAAAAACCTAGAACCTTAACCTTTTTGTTGGTCATTTAATATTACTTGTAACGGTAAACGGGCTGTCATTTCATAGTTGTTAGGTTATTGAGTATTTTAGTATATATTTTAATTTTTAGTTCGGCGCCTTCGGCTTGACCTTTCAAATATAAATTTTCTCTGAGTAGTTTGTGTATGTTGTTTTTGTGATTCGAGGTTGGTTCTATAACTTAAAAAAATGTCTACGCAAAAACGTGAAAGAAGCGTCAATTTCAGCCGGGAAGAAGTTGACCTTCTAACTTCGCTTGTTGCTGACCATAGAAATATATTAGAAAATAAAAAGAGTGACTTAGTCACCTGGCAGGAGAAAGAGCAGTGCTGGAAAACGCTGGAGGCGCTGTTTAATAGCACAAGTGGGGTAAACTTTCGCAGTGCTAAAGCTTAAAGAGGGCTACAAGAAAAAAGTCTGCCTTGATACATGCTGAAACATATCGTACAGGAGGTGGCCCTAGTGCTGCTACTTCTCTTACCCCTATCGAGGAAAAAGTCAAAGACATGATATTGTTGTCTGTCGAAGGAATTGAAAGTCAATTGAAAGGAAGAGCTTCTAAATAACAGAAAGCAATGGGCATTTGAAGAGGAAGCAAGAGAGCATAAAAGAGAATTATGGGCCATAGAAAAAAATATATTGTTAAATAAATTAGAAAAATAATAGATTTTGTGCCTGGAGCAAGGATGTATTGTATTAAAAATTTGTATTTTTATTTGAATAAAAGCATTGAATTTCTATTTAATTTATCTCAAAAATGTTGTAATTTATAAAATACTAGTGGACCCCACAGACGTTGTCCTGCATGATATTTAAAGCGATTAGGATATTAAGCAAAGTATGAAAGTACCGACTGCAGTGCCATCTGCCGGGCTGATTTGTGAATCTAAACCATTCCCAGATCCCCTTGAACACACACAAAAAATTTCATCAAAATCGGTCCAGTCGTTTAGGAGGAGTTCAGTCACATACACACGCACACAAGAAATATATATATTAAGATTATAGTAATAAAGCAAAATAATCACTTATAAGATTACTTCGCACACTTGCATTTCCCACGTTGTCAATTGCGCTTTGATCAATATCATTAGCTGGTTCATCATCATTAATTCTTGTTTTCTTATGTCTTCGCACAGAAGTACGTTGTCTTCTTCCAGCTTCAGAATTACTATCCCAATCGGATAATTGCATTTAAACTTCCAAATCACTATCACTAGAACTGGAAGATGACGAAGATGAATAAATTTTCCCAATGAATATTAAGTTAGGTCGCAATCCCAAACCCAAATCATACGAGTTTCACCGATAGCAATCCGAGATTGATTTGGCCAATCGAAGCAACTGTCAAAATGGACAGATAGGTTGTTGGCATGAGTAAACATTCATTTTCATACAGAGGGCAATCTTCAATCTCTTATCCGCCCTCTGAACGATTGGTTGAATAATTAGATTGGTATCTCAGTCCATGGACTTAATATTGGCATGCTTTTCTTTAGAAATGGATTGAATTGTCAGTCTATGACAGCTAAAATTGGTTTGAGATTGCATATTGGTTTCGGCCGTTAATCAACTCATTTAAATTTAAAAAAAAACATTAAACTAAAAAAAAAGAGGTTAAATTGTTTATTAACTTAATAATTTTTTTCTTCAGAGAGCCACAGTTGCGCTGGGTGCTTGAACGAGCTTGGTGACGATGAATACCTATCAGCGCTTGGGCAGGACTGGCACAAAGACTGCTTTAGGTATGCTTATGGCATAAATGCATTTTTCGTCGATAGGAAATCATTAAACAAATTCACACAGACGTCATACAAAAATTACCGATCCCGGCATTTTTGTATTCTACTTCGATGTAGGTCTCTCAATATCCGTAGCGTTTATGTCGCAACTTTGGGATGAAATGAAAACGCATTGTTGAGGTCGGGAAAGCTATTGGTATTGGGATTTACAGGCTGCTGTTATTTTTATACAAATATAGAAAAAATTGACTGTACGCTTCTGAATAGCTCGAAGGACCAAAATGTATCGGGGTGCTTTAAATAATAGAGGATTTTTGTTTTACTCTATATTACCTGCGTCAGGCTATACTCTCGGGGCGTAATTCCAACGATTTAGGAAATCGCCACGCTTATAAAACTAAGAAAGCCTGAGTGAGCGAAATGTACATTAAGTTCAAAAAAATTATAAGCTGTTTTTATTATTACCTGTTAGTAATAATAAAAATCATTTTGTTTAGTACATCATGTAAACACATTAGAAAAAATCTTCGTATCAAAAATATACTTTATTGTAACATTTATATATCAAAGTTAAATAAAACCTGGTATTTTCGAAGTATTTGTAGAATAACGCGGCATCAAATCTGTTTCCAGGTGTTCTGTCTGCGATGCGCAGCTCACGACGTGGTACTTCGAGAAGGGAGGGCTGCTTTTCTGTCAAGCCGACTACTGGTCGCGCTTTGGAGAGATTTGCCAACAATGTACCCAGGTATTTTTATATATGTAATTTCAATTTTTTTGACTTTATGTTAAATAGGAACGCAATAAAATATTACCTCATATTTTATGCGTTATTCGTATGAATATCCTTTTGATCACTTGAACCTATCTCTGTGTGCAAAAAAAACCATATCTGCATTTGTAAATTACCGTTTTTTATGTTGATAACACTGTTATGTCATTATAGTTCTACAATCATCTTAATACCTAATATTAAATATATTTATATATACTTTATTACCTTATTCAAAAACATACACATAACAAAAATAAAAAAAACAGGTTACAAAAGTTATAAAGTAAAATCTAAAGAATAATAACAATAATAATAAATAAAAATATGTATAAACAAAAAATTTAAGGCCAATCAAAAGGTTCACTGAGAATAATTAATATATATAAGCAGAGCTAATTACGAGGCAGATAGAAAATGATCAAAAAGAACCTTTTTGAATAAATTTAAAGACTGAGCTCGTCTAATATCAATCGGTAGGGAATTCCATAACAGGATACTTTGTACAGTAAAGGAGGAGTGATATAATTCAGTTTTATGAAGAGGAGTTTCAAGAATTAGATTGTCTAAGGAACGCAAGTCAAAACTACCGCCAGAAAGGAACATAAAATTTCGCTTTAAGTAACTAGGAGTTTTAGGATTAAAAAGATATATTTAAAATATCTCTGTGAATAAATTAAATGACGCTTAGCAATTAAGAATTATATTTGTTCATATAAACCCTGATACTCAGAGAGACTTGAAATTTTTTAAACCTCATCGTAATAATGTAATGTTAATTCTATTCGTAGATAATAACGGGACCGGTGATGGCGGCAGGCGATCACCGGTTTCACCCGGAGTGCTTCGCCTGTGACGCCTGTTCCGCGCACATCGACGACACAGAGCCATATGCGCTCCTTGATCGTTCCAGACTATACTGGTTAGTGACTGGTTTATTTTAAAGTAAAAATAAGTTGTAACCTCTTTCGTATATTATACGTGACCTTAGCGACGGTTGTTATTTATTTTTTGATGTTACTCTTGCAAAACTCTTGTACGAAATATTGTATGCGTTGTTATACATTATTTCTTTATAAGATCTTATTTTTCTGAATTCCTCCAATTGACTCTTCCGCACAGTAAAAACATCCCACTTCAAGTGATCTTTAATCTCAAAGAAGGTGACAATCATATTGTCTTTGGTTTTACCTTACAATGTATATAAGTTTTCTATAAGTATTTATGGTACTATTTAAACTGATAAAGAACACGGTCATTAACGTATACGGCTCAGTTATAAATACGTTGTATAAATAAAAAGACAAAAAGTTTAGAAGCTGCTGAAAAGAAGGAGAATTTTCATGAGTGACCGTTTTAAAATAAATAAGATTAATGCTGAAGCATTATCTTCAAATGCATTTATTTTAACGTTAGTACAATTGAGTTGGAAGATTAAAAATAAACACCTATAGGTAAACTTAGCAAAAGGGACAGAAAACTTTTTATATATCGAACAAAAACTCGATTCGTTATCAACTACATTTGTAACAAAAATAAACATTTCTATTATAATAATGCAAATGGAGTTTCCTAATTATCCAATAATCTATCCGATCAATCGTTATTATCGTACTTTTACCTGTTATCAAGTAATCAATTTAGCAGAATATAAGTGGCCATGGTTTTCCTTATATATAAAGAACGAAGCGTCTTATACAATTTCAAGGCATGCTTTTATTATATTCGTATTAATACAAGGAAATATAAAAATTGGTTATTTAAACATCTTACCAAAACGTACGAAAATTTACATCCGATCTTAATATTATTTAGTTAATCGACTAAATGTTAACAGACCTACATCAAAGATATACCGCGTTTAGTAGTATATAATTATTGTATTTTTTAAAAGAGTAATCTAGCTACCAAAAGCGCAAATATAGAGCCCCACGCTCTAACGTCTATTATTCCATCCACTAAAAGTATTTTAAACAAGGTTATTGTTTTAAATTAGAATTAAAGTAATAAGAGTAAAGTATTGTACATTTATAAGTTTAAAGGTGCGCTTACATGAGGGCAATAATTGCTCGGCGACACGAATGGACCGATCTGAAGCAATTAATGGAGCAATTTCAATAAATTGCAAAAAATTATTTCGGCGATATTGCTTCTAATTGCTCCAGATATTTCATATCGCTCAATGTCGCAGATACGAATTGACGAATATCCAATGGACTTGGAAATTCCTAGCAATTTTTGTATATGTCTCATTCGCACTTGTTTGTTTTGCGGCTTGCCGTCTTGCTTCCGCGGGGAGAGCGAGAGGTCTAAATATTAATAATTTCTAATTACTTTATTCAAAAGTAATTCAAAGTCTGTGCGTGACATTCTAGTAAAGTTTTTGAATAATATATCATCTTTACATAATGAAAATTTTGTCCTCTTTGCCAAATACGATCGCACCCAGATACGCCTATTCCTTTTCTTTCTTTTTTGTTTTTGATTAATGATAAAAAAAGCGCTACAAGCCGCCGCAGCAAGAACAATGTCGTCCATAGCGAGCGAAAACTGAAATGCTCATGTATGACAGTATTGCCTAGTTGATGAAGTTGCGCCATATCGCTCAATATTGTATTGCGCAGTATTGATGCTTGTTGCCGTTGCCGAAAATTGCTTGATGTAATCGTGACGTCATAATTGTCGAGTATTGACTGGAATTGAGCAATTTTAGTTGCCCGTGTACCTTTAGACGTATCCAAATTAAAACAAACTACGTAATGGGCCAAACACGTTAGCTATGAGTCTTTACTTAAACATTATTCCCCAGTGGGGCGTGTTATGTGTCCGGCGGCGCGGGTGAACGGGGGTCGCACGCTATCCGGGTCGTAAGATTACCGGCTCATTCCATACGACTTGATTCTTCACGTTGCGGAGCATTGACTATTGCACAGTAAGTTTTGTTTACAATTGTAAAATATTTCTTTACATACCTTGAAAATTATTTGTTAATACGGGTAATTAATATTAAGCTGAGCATGCGCAATAAAAAAGCAGGTCCAGATTTTTATCATGTACTATCATAGAAACTAAACTATCTATATCAATATTATGAAATGTCATTATTGATACCGTGTTCAACTAAATTTTACCTGCTTCCGCAACCTATTGATTTTAGATTTAACAGTCAACCAATCCTAATGTGAACTAATTAATAAAATACGCTTAAATAGATCATGAATCATAAAACTAATTAGATATCTAATGTTTAATTAACAAACTAATAATCGGTAATTAATGGGCTAACAATTGCAGCGAGCGTTGTGCGGGAAAAATAAGTGCGTTGGTACGTGCCTTACTTCGAGCTGCGTTGCAGGCCTGCGTCAACCTTACATGTCATAGGTATGGCGCATGGGCAACTGGACAGTGTAGATTTGCATGAATTGTGATTTTTTTAGTTTGTTGTAAATATAATGTATATTTATTTATAGTGAATATTTCTTTGTGTTAACGGCAAGTTAACGTAAGTTACTTAATGCATGAGAACGGCTTAAGTGCGTGATAGCTCAATCAATTCTCTAGAAACGTGATATTTGAAATAAAATTATCATTTTCAGGACTCATGTTTTGACAGCTTTGAATATACACTATGTATATCACTCGGCTTTTTATAAGGATTATTATTAAGGATTGTGCATTTTTTACATCGCGTTACAACTTCGGAAACGTGCTTTATTGTTTGTGGCGTAACTATACCATCTGGTTGCCGTGGTAAATTCTTTTGATGGGGCCCTATAAGTAAAAATCGTCACGTTGTACTCAGTTTAGTTTTAATAAACTTTGAGATTTTCAGCGTAATCAATTACACGTTGCACGAGTAGGTATATGTCCAACTAATGGCCATAGGCCTCCTCTCTTAGGCGAGAGGGAATTACGCTAGCCCAATGTGTATTGGAGACCTCACATCCATCCATAGAACATAATATCTCTTGGGCAGGGGCCCTCTTGGGTCGGGGGCCCGTGGCATTTTGCCAGCACTGCCACCCTATTGTTACGCCACTGTTTATTGTTTACAATTTTTTTATTAATTAGATATAGATGTGATTGCTACTATATGATTCTAAAATTAATATTTTGATGTATTTTTTCTTTGACCACTATGGACCGGTGAAATGAGTATCTATATATCTTGTTTGTATTTGCGTGTTTATTATAGCTTGCATGTTTCTGTTGTATTTGTTTCTTTTAGAATTTTCTGCTTGAGCAAGCTTGTCTTTTCAGTATTCGTTATTCACAATATCACTAGGTTTTTATATTTTTTTTTAACTATTTTAATTTAACAAACATATTCCAATTTATTTTGCAGCAGTATTGTTCATAGGTATTACATCCATATTTTCTAACATCATCATTTTGGCCTAAACCCTCAATAGTTTGTTAGAAATAACTGATCCATTTTTTAAGCAGGATAGATTCAAGCTGTGGTATGCTGACGCTACACATCGGCGATAAAGTGCTAGAAGTTAATGGATCGCCGGTACGCAACCGTCCCATGTCGGAGATCGAACGTACTTTAGCTAGGCCAGATGTTATACAGGTATGTATATGTTTTTCGGTCTTTCCCACATTAGTCCAAAGCAACTTCGTGTCTTTCATTTTAAAGTATCAGCTCTAGTTAATAAAGTAAAAAATATATGTGGACAGTTTTAGATTTAAGTTTTTTTCTAGGAAGAATGATTGACTGCCATTTTCCAATACAATAACAGATGACTGGTGTTTTGTTGATTCTGTTTAGTTTTTTATTAAAATTTTAATAAAAATCTATATTCGTTACGATTTTATTAATTATCGCTTTAATTTTGTTATTAGGTATTTATTTTATATCGTAAATAACGTTATCTGGTACGTTAGTCTTGTTGTCTAGTATAAAAATATGTAGAGAATATTTAAAAATCTTTCAGCTCACAATAGAGCACAATCCAGACACAATAAATGCTAAACGCGGTATTAGTCCAGAAGACAAAACTAAGCACGAAAAATCGCCCGTTGAAAGGAAGATAAAAGAAGAAAACATTCCCAAAAGACATTCCGATGAAAGGAAGGAAAGACTGTTCAAGAGGAGAGGTGATGAAGGCAGAGTTAGAGTGATAAAGAGGAGACAGGCTGCCTCGCCACCCCTCGGTGATAAGGAAAGAAGTAGCAGTATGTCTAAGTTGCTTGATGTGTGAGTACCTAATATATATATATATATATATATATATCTGTAAGGCAATATATCTTATCTACATTTTCCAGAGGTTCGTGTAGTTTGTATTTTTTATAACACAGTTCAATTAAAAATCGCATACATATGACAGTAGTAAAAATATTAACAAATCGTCGGATCTGACAAATAGTGAACTTTACAGGGCAGCCATTTCAAAATAATATAATCATGTTAGTTTTTGTCATAACTACGAGATTTTAATTCATATTCTGTTATTATGAAAATTGGCATAGAAGCAAACAAAAGGGTTTGTTTTGAAACAAAATAAAAATTATAACACATCAAATTACACAGTTTTCTAGAAAAATCACATCCTTCTATCAAATCCGTCAATTTACAGACTGATTAACTTGAAATTAAAAACACATTGAATTTTTTTTAATGTAGCCGTTATATTTAGTCAATATAGTATACAAATATGATAAAGGGTTTTTTTCAAATCCGACATTGTTCTACGATCATGACGAAATTTTGATTGTTTCTAGCGTCCGGCTGGCAACTTTTTTTAAATGTATGTAACTATTTTGTATTGATGAATGTTTATTAAGTATTGTATTTACTCAGAAAAAGTTGAATGCTAGTCTTTAATTTTCAGTCACCATTGTTAAAACATAATTGTGATACAGGGTCGATGGCGAACAACCGAGTGGCGTGTTGTGTGACCTGAGTCGAGCGCGATCTTTTCGGGCGGAGCCACCGCACGGGCAAAAGGTTTTTCGGGCTTCGGACTTATTACAGGTAAAATATGTAACCTGTGTAGATTAATTAGATGATTAATGTTCTTCCATTATAATAAGACTACCTTGTCTTGTGTTAGATAATTGATTAAATATTGAGCGCTTTTTAAGGCAAATTTAGCCACACACGGTGGTGCCTATGTGGAACCAGCTGCCCAGTGTAGTACCAATTATCCTTAGACCCTTTAGGACGTACCTAAAAAGCCGGCAACGCACTTGCGAGCCTTCTGGGAGTGTCGATGGGCGCGGTATAACTTAACATCACGTGAACCTCCCGCCCGTTTGCCTCTTGTACTATAAAAAACAACTAAACTAAACTAATTAATAATGAAATCGTTATTTTTCATTAAAATATAATTTCAGGTTAGTCTCTGGATTTATATAATTTAAGCTCGCTTTTCCAATATCTGACTGGTTCACACTAATTCTGTCCTAGTTATAAGTTTAAAAAGAAATGTCAAAAATGGTCTAAGTTGGTCTTTATATGGTTTCAATTATTTTCCAGGGCGAGCTCCTAGGCACCGGTTTCTTCGGGCAAGTGTATAAAGTAACTCATCGGGCTACCAATGAAGTAATGGTACTGAAGCAACTTTACCGCGTGGATGAAGAGGCTCAAAGAAACTTTCTGAAGGAAGTGGCAGTTCTTCGATCGTTGAGGCATAGAAATGTACTGCGCTTTATAGGAGTCCTGTATAGGGATAGAAGGTTACACTTGGTGACGGAGTACGTAGACGGAGGGACCTTGCACGATTTATTGCAGGTATGGAAATTCTAGAAATTTCCTCTTTTTCTTACGAAATATTGATATCCAGTTTTAGAATTATATTTTAAATAGCACACATTTTTTACGATCATTCAAGTTAATTCTAAAAAAATTAACTAAAGCTTAGGTTTCCTAGAAAGCGGTGCCGTTATCTAACGGCATTAATGTAACGTTGGGTGACGTCACCCATACTTTGTCTATAAATAACATCGGAGTAGATTTTCTAGAGAATGTTGAGTGTCACCGTAACGTCAAATAGCGGTGCTGTCATTTGCATAACGGCCGTCATAGCGGTGATAAACAGTAGTTCAACGTTTTTCACGTGTAGCGGTGCCCATATTTAATTAATACAATGAGTGGAAACGTGACTTGGACGAGCGAAAATGATTGTTTAAAGACGGCCATTATTAACAACCGTAAAATGACGGCCGTTAGTTAACGGCACCGCTTTTCTAGGAAACCTAAGCTTAACATTTAGAAATGTTAAAACTTGCTCGTTAAATTTGATAGCAAGAAGTATTTGTGTAAATTATAATAGTTGTATGTAGTACAGTAATTTTTTCAATATATTACATAGTTAATTTATAATTTAGAACACAAGTCGCCCGTTAAGTTGGAGCGTACGCGCCCGTTTGGCTCGGGACGTATCTGCGGGCGTAGGATATCTACATCGTATGAATGTCATACACAGAGATCTCAACTCACACAATTGCCTCGTCAGGACGGACCAGGTATAAAAATTAATATATTTATCAAATAGATTGGTAGAAATTCTTAGTACTTTCTAAAGGTTTTTATTGTTACTGTTATCTTAAAAACTATGAGACATAAAGGGTTATTAATTTTTTTGTCATTTATTTGAGCTAATTGTTAAAGACAATTATTTTTATGATATCTCCGAATCTTAAGTACTCAATTAGGAAATACGTTTTTACGTAAATGAATATTTTTTCGACTCAGGAAAGGAAATTTGCCGGAAAATCATATTTGTGTGAAAGAGAGTTGGAATAGAGATTTATATTTCTGTAATTTTTGCAGGATATGACAGTGATAGTAGCGGACTTTGGGTTAGCTCGTATCGTACAACGCACGGCTAGTAGCGCGCCGCCGCATTCTTCGCTTCGACGGAAACGATATACGGTAATGTATTTTGTAGCAACATCTACAATCAGCAACTAGAAACGATACGATGGCGTCCTTAATCGCGTTATTCTAAAATTGCGTTACGTATTACATGATGCGTTTATAAGTACTAAGTGCAAGTAGAATCTCGACATCACGGTCTTTTTTGCATCGTTTATTTTATACATAATCAGAAAAAATACATTTATTTATTACTAGCAGACTCGGTCAAGCTTTGCTGTGACTAAAGTTTTTGTTATATTACATAGTAGAAACTATTCAAGGGAAACGGTAGGAGAACACCAGTCATGGGCTTTTTTGGTGGTTATGCCATTAAATTGTAGCTTATGTGAAACGTTGGTACTTTCAACACGCCATCTATTAGAATTGTGACCGTCAAATAATAAACAAATAATTTGCAAGAAAATAATGTTACCGGTATAAATGAAGATGTAAGCTATCCTATCTTTTAAGTTAGTTCAAACTGCACACGGTATGAAAATTTGATTGAAATCGGTTGAGTAGTTTAGGAGTCCATAGCGGACAAACAACGTGACACGTAATTTATATATATTAAGACTAGTCGAGGATCCGCCCTTTATTTTGGGACACACCTTTCTTTCACACTTACAATATATCGTATAAAAATTAAATCAACGTTCATCGATCAATAAGCGTAGGTAACAAATTCATTTTGTAAACTTATTTTTATATATAAAAGAAGAAAAAAAACATTTAAAAGAGTATTTTTTTCGTTATAGAATTACTAAAATAAAACTGTAGTGAGTTAAAGCTGTAGAACGAAATTATTAATCGTAAAATTTATATTGCAGGTGGTAGGTAACCCTTACTGGATGGCTCCAGAGATGATGAACGGCAACGTGTATGATGAGAAAGTGGATGTCTTCTCTTTCGGGATCATACTTTGTGAGGTAAGTCATTTTTAACAGCCGCTTTGCATAGTATGACCTGAATTGTCACAATATATATGATTTTGCAGTCTTTATAGATAAAATGGAAATGTAAGGGAATTTTCGACTCTTGTTAACATGGGCATTGAGAATTTAAACCAGGTTAAGTGAAAATTATCAAATTTAAAGACATTAATGTATTTAAAGCCGGCCACACGAGACCTGTGACCTCGATTATAGATACGGACGGCGTGCTCAAACACAATACAACACAACTTTGATATAATATACTTTTTTGTATAACCGAAAATTGACACAAAATAAACTTCGTTTGGCAAAGTGACCTCGGTGACCATATTTTTTGTGTGTTTGCTTGTATCTGGGTGCTGTTTCACTAGTCCAATTAGTTTATATCTACCTGGTCCAGTGAGACAACAGCTGGCTGCAGGTCCATCAACGGAGAGACATGGAAGAATCTAAAACAACATTGTTCCACCTTAGCCTGCATCCACACATCGAGTGGGTTGCCAAGAAAACTTCTGACTGAACATTTTTTAAAAAAAATATATATTTAAAAAAATAACCAAAGATGACGCCATTTGTAAAGAATTGAGATTTGACCGAGCTCGCCAAAAGGACAAACATTTTGTGTAATAACGTAATATTAAGAAAGTTGTTGTTTTTTTTTGTATATTTCTAATATTATTTTTAATATTGCGTTCCTTGGCATGTGTTTATGTGTCCTTGATTAAAGAAATGGTAGTCAATGTAGAATTTGATATATTTTTTATTTTGGTTTACGATTTACTCCTACGCGGAGTTTTGAATATTTGAAGCTTATGTGCATTGGTCAAGTATTATGACTATGAATAAAAAGTGAAATTATGTCAAACAATATCTTATTTATTTCATTGTCTTTAGATAATTGGTCGCGTATCTGCCGATCCAGACTTTTTGCCGCGACGGACTGATTTTGGACTGAACGAATCACTATTTTATGAGAAGTTTTGCAGAAGCTGCCCGGAACCGTTATACCGTTTGGCTTTTCTGGCTTGCCATTTGGATCCCGATACGAGGTATACTTTTTACGTTCTGATAATTTGGATACTCATGAAAGAATTAATAATTAATTTGATTTAAATATAATGATATAAACAATTAAATCATAGTCAATTGTAATGATTGTATTATAAAAGAATCTAAATAATAAATCTACTATTAAAAATATCTCAGAAAAAGTATAAATTGTAAAATATAGGCCCTTTGGTTCTTTCAGACCGCCATTTGAAGTGATGGAAATATGGCTGGAGTCCCTCGTGATGCACTTATCGAACACTGGGCCGTTGCCCCCCACTTTATTGGCCGATATTCTCCAATACACGCACCGTGCTACAACCCGGGACCATGGAACGCCCGAATGTCCGAACCACTCGGATAATGGGATATTCTGCGCCAATAAGACCAGATGCAGCTGCGAGAACTTGGAAGAGGCGTTGAAAGAGGGAGTGGTTAAGGTAACGAGGTTTTAATGAAGTCAAAGCTTGGATTTTTTTTCTTTCTTAATTTATTTAAACTAACTAACTTGATTTATTTATTCTCCAAAGACCACTCAATTTTTTTTTTCTTTGAGAATATTATTTTTCTTTTTTTTCTGCATGATATATAATAGTAATTATTTGAATTCAGTTTTAAAAGCTTTCATAATCAACCCCATTTTAGCTGAATGGGGTAGTAAAAAGACTGGAATCTTGGTATAATCTCTGTTTAGGAATAATTATATGCTGAAGTAAGCAAAAGAAGCACATTGCTTTTCGCACCTTGAAAATAATTTTCAACCGTAAAATTTTATTACAAAATAATGCTTTATTTGTATGAAATAAATTAAATGTCTTTATTATTATAAAATCGCTTTCGTTTGTTAAATTCTATAAATTTTAAGAAGTCCTAGTCGTGTTGGGTGAGTTTTCACAAAATAGGATAAAATTGGTTCCTTTTAATTCTTATTTGTGGTATTATTATGCTTTCAGTCCCAATCAAACGCAGCCATAGAGTGCGTCCGTGGCGGACGTGCTTTAGGCAAGTGTGTGTCTGCGAGTCATATCGCACCGCGTGTCGTGACGTTAACGGCTTCGTCTCGTCTCGGCCTGTCTCGATCTCATCACGCACTCGCACCAGGGTACATACTGCGTGCGGAAGGACACAGTATTAATATTACTAAGGTCAGATACGTTGTTTCCTATAGAAAAGTTGTGTAAATAAGAAAAACAGAATTGAACGCATTCCAAATATCTCTGTTGTTAAGTTAGTCCAATTCTTTTTGTTTCAACAAATACATTCATTTTATTATTATTTGGGGTGTAACTTTTAATTATTATGTTACAGGTCGACGATATATCTGAATGGCTCGACCCTCCCCCTCTCAAACGAACCAGCCCAGATTCACATCTCAACAATTTACTCAACGAAAACAAAACCAGGAAAATTGAGGAAAACCTCCCGGCATTCTTACGAAATCAGTCCGTTGAAGAACTCGAAACGGAAGACAAACACAACACCCCACCTCCATTTTACAGACATTACAGCATCCCGGACAATTGCGAGCTACAAAATGACTCGGACAACTCCTCAGATGACGAACTTGACATACAGATCGACTGTAATCCCAAAATAATCACAGATATCGTCAAAAGTAACATACTCTCCAAAAAAGCCAGTTACGACTTCACTTGCGCCGAGCCAGAGGAGAAGGAACCAAAAATAGATGTTAAATGTGAGAAAAATTCACTCGCAAAGAAGTTACTGATGTCCCCAAAACTAAGCAGACTGTTCAAACCCAATTCAGAGACAAGAGACGATGATAAGTCGAAAAGCAAGTTCTTCGTCCAAAAGCCAGCTTCACCGAGGTACAGAGTGAGGCCTAGCGGAGATGACGCTAACATTAACAGGGACGTCCTTAAGAGCGACTTGAAATTGGCGAGTCTGGGCAAACCTATGACGCCGATATTCCGAAGAAACATCGGGGAAAAGCAGGATTTCGAAGGGAGATACAGTTACCGAGATAAAAAGCAAGAGAAACTCGATAGACGGAAACTGGAGCCCGTTAGGAATTTAACGCCGCTGTTTGAGAAAAAAAACGAAAAGCCCAAAAGGAAGGAAGGAATTTCACGCAGCAATTATGTGAGGCTGGCGAACTTGAAGATCAGTAAGGAGTTGGAGCCTCAGAGTGACGTACGTAAGTCCCCGCCCGAGAGAGTTATTTAATATATGGTGCGCCTCCTGCCCGTTGGCCTCCTATTACATAAAAAAGGTAAATGCTGATTTACGTACACACTAGATGTACAGTAATTTACCACACAATGTTTCAAAACACTATTACTTTACGAATTATTACAGATTATATTGAAAAATAAATTTCTGGGTATTTTTGCGTGAAAATTTTGATATATCCCGGTGGTCGACTCGCTTCAAAGTATTAATTGTTCCTTCCATGGTTAGAATTTATTCCCTACTACGGTTATTTGCTTCGTGTTATTTACAAGTTCTATATAATGTTATTGTTATATTGACCATCGGAATATATAAGATGACTGCATTTAGCCAAAGTATCAATATAAATTGTCCAATTTAAAACTATATTTCAGCTGATTGTTCTTCTTATATATAAAGATATGAAATGTTTAAACAGAAAAATGTATTTCCAAATTATTTTGAAAGTGTGAGGTCGGCTTATGAACGTAATCTTGCCAAGTTAAAAGTTTACAGTTGTTAATTTGTTATGTACTTATTAATATAAGCTTGGAACGGAAATTGCTAAGTATACACATTTTTGTAATTTTTGCACCATAACAGGATAATATTCTAGCAAAGATTATCACATATTTAGGATGTAGTACCACGACCTTGAGGAAAAGATTATGCCCGGTGGTACACACTCATGGCTGGTCTCGTGGTGACGTATGTACAGCCGCCATTATAGTTTAGTGCATACAAAATTTAGATTTTTCACAATTGTTAGTGTATATATTAGCGCCATCTGTTTTCTGGGGATGATAATTGCCGTAGTGTTTATACTTTTTAAAACCGGCTTGAGGGCACAAGTGTTGTATTTTCGCCAGTTTGTTATAGATGACTAATTACCAACGCATCTGTTACTATAGCCATAATTTTTAATAACCTTTAAACGTTATCAATTTTGATACAGTTATTAAAAGTTGATGTTTTATACAAATATACAATGTTCAATAGATTTTTTACATTGTTTAAGCGCATAGTTAATAGCTCTTAGGTTTGCTGGTGCCTTTATCAAGACTGCGTAGTCTGATATTTGGTAGGATAGATCATAGAGCATATAATGTCCAGCGACAAAACCCAAATCCTCAAAATTTCCGAGACTTTACATTCGAATACAGTAAACTTCTATTAGCAATTGTATTTTGAAGAATTTAAAACCAGTCTGGGTTATTAGACAAAGTGCTTATTGCATTCCGCCTTATATATTATTTTGGCAAAGTTTTATATAAAGTATTAGATAAATATTGTGCTTTACTACGCTCTCTAGTGCCAATAAGAACTTTATATAGAAGTTTTTTCGTAACGTTTTTTTTTTCTTTTTGATTAAGTATTAACAGATCGAATAAATTATTAACCATAAGTATTTTTAAGGCTGATTTTTTTTCAGGGTGCCATTTTTTTAGAATTTAGTAGGTACCTATTCAAACAAATGTTTGAATAGCATGGCGTCAAATTCAGTAGTTACTAAACCAGACAATTCATTTTTATATAAATATTTGTACTATTATTGTAAATATGCCATGTAGATGTAGCTTTTGGTTTATTTGCATTACAGATAGTGCAATCCACGAAGACGCGCCCCGCTATTTCTCCTAACCGTTTATAGTATATCGTGTTATCGGTACACACGCACACTACAATGAATAGCTGACGGTTCGCAACTGACGCTCGATTGCTTCGACTCCCCGCACCCCGCGATTCCCTCAACCAAAAATTGGTGGCGTCTTCGTGAATTGCACTATCTATACCATGCTCATAGTTGGATATTGTCTGTGATACATTTTTTTTAGAAAATGTTGCAATAACAAGTATTAATTATTGATTGTAATGGATGTAACAATATCTACAAAATTAACACATTAACCGCTAACATCGAGGTTTCCGTCTCCTAGCATTCCGAATCTTTATACTGTTTGTAAGTACAAAATAAAGAATATATTCCATAAAAAATGTTTTATTATTATTAATCAGAGTTCATATTAGTAGATGTTTTTTCCGGGAAAATAAAAGGATTAAATAGCTTTGAAAACCACAAGTTTTATTTCAATAATGGTGTCTCTGACACAATAGTTTACAACTATAAATTGGAATAATAAACATTTTCAAAAAATTTAAAGTAATTTTAACAATATAAATGATAGTAAGATAATTTTCAAATACTCTTATTAATGCGATTCGTTTTTTATTCGAGACAAATAAGTTCATAACATACTGTGTTCACTATAGGGTAAGACATTTTTATATCCGGCGTCAAGTAATAAAAACATGTTATATTATTATATATTTCTCGAATTCCAAGTTAGCCAGTTCCTATAGATTCGTCAAAACATAAAAAGAACCTTACACTGCAGTAAATAAACGATTTTATAGTTGACCTATTTTGTATTGATTTTCATTACGTCAATCCGTATTGTGACGACAAAGCGAGCTTCAGTTCACATGACCTTATGCCGTCACAATTGAATACAAGATTCAATAAGTACGTTCATAAAAATACCCAATAATGCACAAAAAACAAAACCTTGTTATATACTAAATAGGAAATGGTTTAGTACAGTAACTTTACAATAATTTAGACTTATACATAGTTTCAGACATGTATTACTTACAACTAGTGAGATGTATTCGGCAAACGGTCGTTGAAACTAACAATTAGAATACAAAAATAACAATTTATTATTTCAATGCAATTTAGAATTCATTTGTAATAAATAGTATATTCGACCAATAAATAAGTACGTATGACTTAATTTGGCTGAAATAATATGCCAATAAACATTAAACCGCCCCCCACCTTCAGTGCATTAAGTATAGCATGCAAGTTATACGATACGTAAGTGCTATTTATTCTAATATAACTATGTAGTGACTGTGCGATTTAAGTGTAAATTACGAAAAAATAAATGCAACATTTAATACCTAAGAGGAAATCTAATGTAAATTTGTTCTAAAACTTAGTTTACTAGTTTTTATATTTAAGGCTCGGTACAGACGATCGACTCGTCGCATCCCCAAAATGTCTATCATTATCGTCTTTGGTAAAAGCGTTATTTAATTTGGTAATCGATAATCTATTTTACTGATTTCATAACAAGATATTAATTTAACGTTCTGCGTTATAGAACCCTTGTTTTGTTCGAAACTCGACTCGCTCATCAGTATCGAACCTGAAGGTACAAGAGGCTATGTAGCGCTACTGCGTACTCTAAGTACAACATTTTTAAATTCGATCCAAATTCATTCGCCTTTCTACATTCGATGTGTTGATTTATAGGCTTTCCACAATCAATCTTTTAGCCTCTAAACAAAAATATTAATACAGGTATATCAAAGTACATCTTCATCCTAGCAATATAGCACCGGTCTTAAATCTAGGTGCCAAAGTGTAGCCATTCTTTTTACATAGATTTTGCTACACATTGTAACCGAGACATACAATGTGTTTAAATAAATCGATAGGAACAGAAATTTAGCTTACACAACTTAACTTTATCACATAAATGATCAATCGCTTCCTTTTCCGTTCTTTCCTCGTTAATATTTCTATGATTTTATACTAGATCTTAATTGTATGATCTACTGATTTAGAATAAAATACATTGGCACTAAAGGTAATCTATACCTGGAAGAAAAGGGTTTAATTGACAGCAATTTATGGTGCTTAGAAACGAGTGTTATTAATCACATGTTTACTGAGACCCTAATGTACTACAAGACATATTCGTGAGTTATTTATGTCACAAAATAAATTAACTAGCAACAATTCAAATCAGACACTTTGTATTCGTACAACTATATCTATTTATTTTGTGACAGTCATCTAAAAGATATCCAAAAAACGACTAGTTATGGCAGTAAGGTTAGGTATACGTGCGACTAACGAGGTGGCGACGCGGCTGCGATTCTTTGTCGCAGTCGTGCGAATTTCCCATGTACTAGTCGCAACTGTGTGCGCAGGCGCGTAGATAGCTCCCTTTGCAGCGCCTGCACTTCAATTAACTCACGGCGAAGCTGTTGGTAGTCGGACCGAACCTGATTAAATATATAGTGATTGTACAATAAGTGTTTTGTTCGATTAAAATTGTTTGAAATTTATATGTTTAAAGTTTAAACGCGTCGAAGTCAAAACAACCTGTCAAGGAGGCATGTATATGTTTTAATTATCATATTTTATATAATTGTATGCCCTGTATGTTAAAATTGAGGGATCAACTTGAAAAAACACATACATACTCTTTAAGGAATCAAAAAATGTGTAAGACTAATATATATTTTGATACTATTTCTGTATATTTTAATTGTCACACACATGTACACATTCTTTGAAACACTATTGTACCTTTTAAGTACACAACACAAGCTGAAAGGGAACTAACAATGTCATAGTCAAGTAAATGGCATGAACTGTGAACATGGTTGCCCATGGGAAGTAATTGTGTGAAGTGATGTTGCACTGAAAATATTAAGGCTACAAAGTAGCTGGATAACTTTGAAGTCCATTTTGTTTTACCTCCTTGTATGCGTAATGAATGTCTGTATTGTCGTTATAGCCAGTAATATAAAAACTTTGATTATATAGTTAAAGAACTATTTTCTAGATGATATTTAAGATAATCTATTTAATTCTACTAATATAAATAGATTACCCAGCTACTTCCAGCCTTAATTTCCTTTAAAATCGCAACTCCTGCAACAAAACTAGAAGCCCTAGATAAAGCGACACTGGTTCCTGTTGAGTAGGCCTTCAACAGGGCTTAAACTTTGTACCACATTCAAGCCCGTTTCTCGACTAATGTCAACAAGCAATATTTATAGTTTGCTATTTATTATTAACAATGGCTGAAAAAAGATTCTAATACAAATAAATTTAGGTCAACTGTACATCTCGTCACAAAATACAACAGACATTGTGTGAAATGTTTTTAATTATACAAAACAGCAAACTATAAAAATAGACAACAGAACACTAAATATTCTCTGACCTTTCCTCAACACAATAATGCAAGGGGCTGAAAAAATAAAGATTTCTATTTTATATCAATTTAATTAAAATAATTTATCCATATAACAATTACCCCAAAATTAAATTTCATAAGCAACTCTGATATTAGTGGGTAGTATGTGTATATTTGAGTATTAAATAACATAATATACTTGATTTCTTTATCCTATTTATTTTAGAATATAATAATTTTGATAATATAACTCTGTGCAATTCTCTTTAAATTATCAATAAAATGTCACATAAATATAAACAAACATATTTACTTTTACAAATAGATTCATTGAATATGCTAATGGAATGTGTAAATACATCACATTCAAAAGTATTTACTCATATTTATCACCTTCTGTATGTTTGACACAATGCCTAAGGAAATATTTTAACCCAATTAAGTCTTGTTCTTTTTATTGTTTGTGTTAAGTATTGAAAATACTCCTAAACTTTATACTTACCTCAGAAACAGATTTCAGTAAATTGACAATACAAACATCCTGGTTGTTGATAGGAGCCACTATCTCCATCCCCCCTCCATCAAGTTTCCATTCCATCAGATCAAGTTGTTCATTTGTTTGTTTTACCTAAGCAAACATACTAACTTTCATACACTCTTGTCTATTGTGGCTTTAATAAATATTATAGTGAGAAATAATTACATATATATATATATATCAATAAAGGAAATTAATTACAATTTTATTTTTTAAAATACACTTTATTAATATTATTTGTTGACAAGATGGTTAATGATATTTGAAGTTAAAAGAAAAATTTATTTTTTTATAAGTGGATCTTAGATATCAAGATTAAGATATCATAATAATTAGCTACTCCGGTATATTATAATAGGACAGCGGCTGGTTGACCTAAATAAGCTCACCTGTCTTAAATCTAAGCAAATAACATGGGAAGTCTTTTTTTAACTTACTGTATCGTCCAGTTCCTCAATTGTAACCTCTTTCTCAGTCATTTTATGAATTAAATATAGTGTTTTAATTTATATTTTTGATTACACATCAATTAACAATTTACTAATAGGCGAGAACCAAGCAGAAAAAATGTATTTTTAATTTGAGTTTTGAGTCCTTATCTGTCACTGACAAATGACAATTATCAGGCAGAAAGAAACAATGACATCTGTCGTCAAGAGTAACTCGACATCACCGTTCAAATAGAAAATACTATGGTTTGTCAAACTATTGCTTATCTGTGCAAGACGTAATATTTAACATATTTATAGCAGTAGCTATATGAATTACTTAAAAATAATATTGGATTTTATTATCTTATATAATTTATTGATAAATTTGTATAATGTTGACATAAGGAAAAATACATACATATTTTGATATAATTGCAGTGATAAATTAAAAAGCTACTTAGGGGAAGGTTCGAAGGGGACCCTTCGTACTGTTTTCACATTTTATTTTTCTATGAATCAATCACCTGATAGCTTAATTTTATAGTCTATCTGAGATTCATATAAAAAAATGACAAATGATTTCATCAGATGTTTCAACCATAATTATGATTTAAACTAATTCTGAAATATGTACGAATCTGCCCCAATAACGGGGCACCTGCGTACAGTGTTGGGGGTACCTTCGTACGCTGGGGAGTAGTTCCGTACGTGCGATTAAAACGACACTGAAATTAAACACAAAAATAAAGATTTAACTTCTATTAAACAAAAATAAAATACTTTACTTATAGTGAACAAAAATTAAATAGCTATTCTTATGTAAAACAAAACTTAATTAGTTATCTTAAATTTAGAATCACATTTTTTAATCTTTGGTGCGGATTACCACTTCTTATTTTCGGGTGTGTCAGTAAAAATTCGTGGTTTTCCTGGCCGCCGACTTTTGCTTGTTTTATTACTTCTAACAAGATTCGGATAGGGTGGAAATGACTCCAGAGGGTGTCAAAACTTTCTTCGAAGGAACTACTATTTGATGGATTGGTTAATTATTCAAAGCATCTGGTTCACAAGTATCTAAATTAAACTAAATTACTATTTCATACGTTCTTAATAATAATTCCGAGCGAGACAATCGAATTGTACTTATTTTCTGGAAAAGAATCCATTTTGCAGAATCTAAATTCAATAACTTTTCCCGAGTCTCCACGTGAAATTGCGCAAAAATTAAGGGGCCTAACTATGTATTACCACGGTGGTATGGCCGGAAGATTTGGACCGTTAGGCGAAAAATAATAACTATAATGAATAATTATTTATTAGTCAAGGGCAACTGTGTATTGTAATAATAATTTTAAAATCCAATAATTTACACAACTACAAATAACTTCACAGTCTACCTATAAATACCAGCAGTATGTATAAAACTGCCTTACCAAAATAGTTTTATGTAATTAATAATCTAACCTTACTTTGTTGAAAAAGTTTCGTGGACAGGGATAATAAATAAACACCAAACTATAATTATATACATTTATTTGTCTTTATCAACATGTAGACAAACACGAGATAGTTGTGAAAGTTACTGACACATATTTCAAAGTGAGTGCTTTACAATAAAACCAAGAGATCACTTTATATTTAATGTTAAGTGAATACAATATTGTAACGGTCTATTTGCTTTCTTTTCTGTCCATATTTGGACACAGCAATTAACATAACAATTGCACATACATGTTCTTAATATAAATCATTAAAAAGGAATTGGCAATACTAATATCCTACACTATTGTTTTATTTTAAATAAATCAAACTTTGTACAAATAAAGCTCTATAAAGCCTACGTACCTAGATTTAGTTGAAGAACATAAACAGGTAGTTATCAAACATCACATCTTACCAACTGTTTGCAATCTTAGGCATATGAACAGCAATAACATATCTAGAGTACAAAGTTGCGACCTACAAGTTCTTTAGGTTGCACGTATACGTTTGGACATATACAGATGTACGGTTTTACAGTACATCTAAGTGAGCAAATCTGTCATGCCAATGGAGGAACTGTCTTGATATACTACCGATGTATTTAATTAAATAATATGAACTAGAAAATATCTTATCACCATAAATTATTTAACTGATGGTGTTAAACAATAGCCATGGTACATGTGCTGGTTTAAAATTGAAAACACATTTTATAATTTAAAATAATTATTATGAAATCAGGTAATTAATTTATATTCGAGATAATTGACAAAGCGTTGAGACAAAATCAAAGCACGAATATTTGTATTTCACCAATCCTCAAATTCAACTGTAAATTCGTACTGTTTATTTTCTACGGATAGGTTCAGATCATCAGAATTAATTTCGGAAAATATGATGATGCATAAGCGTCATTAACTCAGCTGAAATTAACATATGCAGTAGGTAATGAAGAATACTTTAATTCGCAATCTGACCTACTGTAATCCATAAACAAAGGAGTACTATGGCATAGTATGAAATGGCGTTTGGTATAAATTAGTTGCATATACATTTGATTCATGTAATCTTAAAATATAACAAAATATTTCGCATCATTTGAATAAATTTTTATCTGATTAAGTTCACAGTAGTAACACCATACTTGTTGTAGAAGTTTCAGATTTTAGTTTAGCAAAATAATTTATAGAATCGCCACCAAAATTTTAATCCGACAAAAATATCGTTTAAATTTGTTTATATAACAATGTCATGTGTTATGTGAAAATAATATTATTTAGCCTTTTACAAAAAAAATTAAATACAAATAAAAACTCTACATTGGATATCAGTCAATATATAATGTGATTAATAGAATATCCGGGAAATAGTATTTCTAAGTGGAAGCGTAAACGTGAGTGCGGATTTTCGTATATAAATTAACAGTGTAACGTTGTATAATGCAAACAAAAAGTCGCTCTCCTTACGTATGACCAGACTACATTTTTTGTAGTTTTATTAGAGATATCCAGAATTATTTGGCAGTAATTTATTCAGGGATTCTTGGCGCAAACATTTTTTTCTGCTCGGTAGATAAAAAGTATCAATGAAATAAACGCCGCTGTAGAATGATAACCTCGTAAGTCCAGAGAACCAACATTACAGGAAACAAAAATATGTTTCACTTTGTCAATGTTCGTTAAAAGGAATTATTTATTAATAACATAAATAAGTCCTTACTTCATGATTAAAACAGTTAAATGACATAAGAGTCTAAGAATAAAAAATAAATGGTTATTTCACATACGAGGTGATAACCTACAGTAACGAAAAGCAGAAATGTGCTTGCCTCATATTGCAAATAATAGGAACTTTACATAATGCCTTCAGATAAACATTTTGTATTAATTTTACGCCACATATACTATTACGTTGTCAAGTTTTATTAAATGAGTACATATGCTATATACCAAAAGTCGACGTGAAAAATTAAAAACAAAGAAATATAAATAGGACATTGAAAGTCAGTTTCAGCCTTCTTAGCTGTGTAACGTAGATGTTCATACTAACTTAATATATTACAGAGTATACGTCTACTCATTAATATTGTTTAATTCATGAGTGTATTTGGTCGAGCATAGGCGTCCAATAAAGGTCCAATACACAGAATAAATCTAAACAATTACATAATAAATCAGCCTACTTATTTCTCTACAAGCTCCATAGACAATATTATAATTTCACATTCGTGTGAATTCATAATTTTATAGATCTATGCATACACATTTATTGATATCTAAATCTAATTGCAGTCATACCAGTTTATTGGCATGTATTTGAAATTGATTTATGATTGTTTATACGTTATTAAAAAAAAATAAGATTCATTTTACTCTTATTAGAAGTCAATTGCCAAAAAACCTTGTAAAACTGTATACTATTTGAAACCACAGATAGTCTACGCTCGACCATTAATTACCACAGTTATATCAGTTCACTGCCGAGCATATAATCTACATCTAATATTAGACGAAGCTTACGCCTGACCAATCACCACAGACAACTCTCATATTGTAGTCTGTGGCAGACACCGCGTGGTCCCGAACCGTAGAAAAGGAACTGTATGGGTCTATTACCTATAAGTGTGCTCACTTCATATCAGCCGTGTCGAACTTATGCTCTTTGACAGAGACCGCGTCTGAAGTGAGTGTCTCCTTCAAGTGCTCGACACAGTTCTTTGGGATTAATGTACCTGAAATTGTTTTTTATTAAATATTATTTATCTTAATATTGCACTGAAAAAACATCGGTTTACACGAGAACTACAAATATAAATACAAAAAAGGAAAAAAAAAGTTTTCAGAGTATTTATTAATAATTATTTATAGAAGAATTTAGTTAGTTTAAGAAGTTTTATTAAAATATAATGTGTTTGAGAGATGTAATTTTTTAATGACTGTTTATTGTAAAAAATAAATTGTTACGTTTCAAGATCAGAATCAGAGGAATTGAAAACACCGTCTACTATCCATTATATTCGGACGGGAACGGAATAGTTCCGGCATTTCACTGTCTCAAATAATTTTCGTCTATTACCCAAATATTAATAGCTCCTGAGATTAAAGGTTGTCGAACACGTGAACCAAACAGACCTTTTCAGCTTTATCATATTATACATATATCATAGGCATACGTCGCTTTATTGAATTCGCATACAAACATACATACAAGAAATATACATAAAATGTAAGTTGGAAGTCACAGACTCTTGCAATACAGTTCTCACTACATCAGGAGTCTAGGATAAAAGATTTTTAAATCTTATTTAATATTATTATACTCACCAACAATCTTGAGACCGTCGTCAGTCTTGAGTCTGACGACCTGCATCTTGTGGTGGTGGCTGCGTGCGGCCAGCGCTGCTTCGACCCTCGCCCACACCGCCAGCACCGATCCTGCTAATACGTGGTATGTGCGAACGCGCAAACCCACCTGTCACATTTGTTTATTTTAGAGATTAGTTAGTCAGATAGTTAAGTCAATAAAAAAAATATTTAAAAAAAAGCATCGAATTTTTAAACACTAATTAAAAATAATGTCTGTTCTACGGGCCGTACCTCGCAGTCAGCCGCGTTTCTGCAGACGGCCTTCCAATAAGCGTGTGAGCAAACCCTTAGCGAAGCACTATGTTGTGCCTTCCACGCAGCTTCGGCTTCTTCAGAACTCTCTTTGTATTTCCTAGTCACTTTATTTGTAGGCTTCTTTGGCCTAAAATTTAAAAATAAATACTTTAGACCCCCCTAAGGCGGCTCTCCGCTCTAATAAAGCTTGTAGGCCTGTGTTTGGATTACCTAATTACACATTTAAAAAACCTACATACTATAGTAACTTTAATTATTTAATAGTACTTGTTTCCGACGTTTCGCGTGCTTTACAGCGTGCGTGGTCAAGGTGACTGAACACAAAAGGTGTTGAATGTCAAAAAGTATCACAGCTGTAGAAAAAGTTGTATTATCTGTATTTATTTCCCCGGAGTTGAACTCCGGGGATTGGCCCGGACTTTTAATTATTCAAACTAATTTGTATTGTAATACAAACTATCGTAAAAGTGTTTTCTTTAATATGAAAAACCTGTTTAGTTATGAAGGTACATTGTAAACTCGCACTTAACCTTCCAAATTACTGAAATCGTTTGGTTTGCCTTGACCATACAAAATGAGGTATATTTTCATATATCCTTAACTCTATAGCTGTATATTTATTGTATCGACAAGATAAATATATCATTGCCTGGCTACAGTTTACGTGGAGAAAATTCAGAACAAATAATGAATATTTATATATTCATTAATATGAGATCTTGTTAAAAAGTTAAATAAAAATGTTGTGTTCGGTTGCATGAGTTTGACGAGGCAGTACCAGCCTTTGTTACTTATAACAACCTGACAGAGTTTGCCAAAAGAAGCTGATAGAATCTGATAAATAAAATTCTCGTGTCACAATGTTACTTACCATACTCCTCCGAAAAAGGTGTTTTAAATCTATATGCATATTTGGTTTGAGCTCGGCTTTTAAAAAACGTTTTGACCGTATTAGTTATTATTAAAATTTACAATTATTTAACATAATTTTAAATTTATGCATATTCAGTCGGCTCTACAGCGTGGGGGGTCACGGTGACTGAGGCCAAAGGTGTTGGAGAATACGGCTGTAGAAGTGCATTATCTGTATTTATTTCCCCGGAGTTGGTATCAACTAAAAGATTGAGGTTTTGGCAAAAATGGTACGGTGTCCTCTATTTTCTAAGGATTGTTTTTCAAATCGGCTGTTGAATCGGTTTTATTTTTTTCATTTTTAGGGGACCAACATTTTATTTTTATTTTTTGAACAAAAATTTAAATTTAAATTTTTTATGATACAACATACAAAAAATGCATACAACCCTTAATTTTCACCATTCTACGATCAACCCCTATTTTTTATTTGTTAATTATGACTTGAACTCTGAGGTTTATATGGAGAAAAATTCGCAGAACAACCTAAAAAGTTTTTATTCCGGAAAACCGAACAGTCTCCGGGATAGCATAGCAAAATATTCCATCTTGGTATGTACTAAAAAGGTAGGCTACATAAAATCACATTAAGGAGAAACGAAGTTCGCGGGAGCAGCTAGTCATAATATATAAAGTACAGACCATATATTTCTACGAGAAATAAAATACCTGTAAAGCTGATAAGTCTTGTCTTTCTCCGGGAGGTTTCTATCTCTGCTAGAGTTAGCAGCAATGCATAACACAGCCGTGTATTTTCCATTTCTCGCCTGTAGCGATAGATAGAATCCCTCTGCTCCCATACATTCTTCGTTCTTTTCCATCGCATCGAACCAGTCCATGCCACGCTGCAATACAGATATGGTAAGTTAAAAAAATAAAGTCAAATTTTCATTAACATTATATACATTAATTATCATTTCAAACAAAACTAAAAAGTTACGTAATAGAAGTTATATAAGAAAGGTATAAAATAATTTTCATTCAAGTAAATATTTTAATGAAAATAAGTCTTTTGAGACTGTACATATCACTAATATTTAATTAAGTACAGCTTGGCGCTACTATATTTAGCATTTAATTTAAAGATTTTTTCGACATATACATATGTATACAATTACGTCATAGTTGAATAATAATCACCTCGCACAGAACAGTATGTAGCTCAACGGGCGCAGTACCGGTCGCGTGTTTCCTAAGGAACGTAACACAACGTACGCGACGTACGCACTCGCTCGCACTTCCGAGATCCAAAATACCCATGTCGAAACGACCGCTGCGTTTTGCTGAAAAATAGATAAAATATTTTATTTTAGCACTTAAAACAATTATAAATCTAATTTTTTGCTTAAATCGTTTTTTCGTTTAACTAACCTTGCTCCATGACAGCGGCGAGTGTGTCCGTAAAGTACTTGAAGAGTCGATTCTGCAATTCCACCGGCATTCCCAGTATCCTATTGAGGAACTTCGACATGTTGTTGTAGTCCTGTAATTTTTACTCTTTTTTATAAATTGCACAAAGACACGACGATCTAGCCTAAATTAAGACTAATAAGTTCTTTAAAACTAACCCAATTTACTAAAAAGGATATTTAACATAAGAAAGTGTCCAATAACACTACTTACAGTCTCTATTAAGGACTGTCCTGTAAAATAAAAATAAAATATGTTTATTATGGAACATAAGATACAGGTATCACTTATTTCACGTCATTAAATTTGAATTTACAGGCATCCCTACTCATCGGCAAAGAAGACAGAGGGTGTAGGCCGAGAGAAAAAACTATCGGTACTCTTTTAAAATAGCAAATCATCAACACTTATTTTAAAACAAATATCGCAAATTAATTAGAAGTTGCCTGTCTAGCACTAGTCCCAGGCCCTTTTACCAACTAGATAATCGTTAACTTTATAGTAAGCCTTTTTACACAGCTTTTCTTTAATACATTTCTTAAATTTATTAAAAGGCAGAGATAAAAGAGCCTCTGGGATTTTATTAAGGAAGAGTGTCCCTTTTCCCAAAAAAGAGTTACTAACTTTATAGTAGGTAGTCTAGTACGGGGAAATTGCAGCCTGCGTTTGTTCCGAGTATTAACATTGTGCGTATGTTCTATTCTAGTAAACTTATCACTATTTTTGTATACATACATAATATTTTTATAAATATATTGCGAGGGAAAGGTAAGTATATTAATTTCCTTGAATTTATCTCTCAAAGATTTCTACATTTTAAATTATAGATGTAAATAACAATATTTCGTTAAAATAAATGGTTCGTCAATGTCAACCTAACTACGTATACTAAAAATTTGAATTTTGAAAGTGTTGCCGTCTACGATTCGTCAAATAAACAAAGTTAGAGTAAAGTAGTGCTTCTGTAATAAAAATTGTTCATTATTAAATCCTTACCTTATCCAAGGCCAGCATCCCAGGCTGGTGTTCACTATTAACAATGAGCCCGACTCCGACGAGCGCTGAGGCGAGATCCTGAAAGAAGTCCCCGCGGTAGTCAGTAGGCGGCGCCACCAGTGGACTTTCGTACTTCATTATGGCCTTCATCACTGCTTCTAGGGCCGTGCGACCTTGAAATAAAAATAAACGATGCTTTTAATACACTTTTTTACCTGATTGAAGTTATGTATTATTATAAATTTACAATTATTTAGCATAATTTTAAATTTCACCGACGTTTCGCGTGCTTTACAGCGTGTTTGGTCACGGTGACTGAAGACAAAAGGTGTTGAATGTCAAAAAGTACCACAGCTGTAGAAAAAGTTGTATTATCTGTATTTATTTCCACGGCGTTGGTATCGACTAAAAGATGGAGGGTTTTGGCAGAAATGGCTCACCGTGTCCTCTATTTTCGCGGATTGTTTATCTTGAGATTTTAATTTGGATATTATTGGATCCCAGGTGTTTGACAATTTTAGGCCGTCTTCTCTATTGAGTCAGAAAATTGTCAAACACCTGGGATAATAATACATAACTTCAATCCGGTAAAAAAGTGTTTTATTTAAATGTGTAAAAGTTATGTCAATAAAAGACAATACAAATACTAAACGATGCTTTGTTAATAGGGGTAAAATAATGAAATATTTTAAAAGTGCAGAAATTGTAGGAGGATCACTGAGGACATTTATTTGTTTATGTATATAATTATACTGTTATAATATCTTTTACTAATACTGTTTGATACGTTTATCTTATTCCCCAAGTATTTGGCCCCCATTTAAAAAAAAACATATAGTTAATTGTAAAATATGAAAAACAATTTTTCTTACCATATTTATTGTCAATGTTAAATTGGCTCAGATCTCTTGTTTCCGTGGCTCGTCGATCACCATGCGTCAACGCACCGAGTGACTCCAGTCGCTTAGCAACGGTCGATGCGAATCGACGCTCACCGGCCAAGTCGGATATCAGGAATATGTACTCTGGCGCATTCACTTGGTTCGATCGATGTGTTCGACCTATCGTTTGAAGTAAAATAAGTTAAGTTTTCAAGTAAAGACTTTAATTTTACATTCTATTACTGGAATTGAAATATAAACACGATTGCCTTCAAATCACAAGTGCACTTAATTTAATAATAAGTTTAAAAAGATATATTGAGAGCAGTGTTGGCCTAGTGGCTCCAGCGTGCGACTCTTATACCAGAGGTCGTAGGTTCGATCCCCGTCTGTGCACCAATGGACTTTTTTTCTATGTGCGCATTTAACATTTGCTCGAACGGTAAAGGAAACATCGTGAGGAAACCGACATGTCTTAGACCCAAAAAGTCGACGGCGTGTGTCAGGCACTGAAGGTTGATCACCTACTTGGCTTATAGATTTAAAAATGATCATGAAACAGATTCAGAAATCTGAGACCTAAAGAGGTTGTAGCGCCACTGATTTATTTTATTTTAAAAAGATATATGACTTCTGTATATACGCGTTTGTAACATGTAACGATAAAATAGTTTTACTATAACTCACCAAACTGTTGTATCGCTCTGTCCGCTGACCATGGTAATTCTAGCGTTATATGTACTCTTCTCCTTTGATTTCTCGCCCTGAAAGAATATTTTATGGAACGCTTTAATATTTACGTCTAATTGAACTTTCATAAGTGTTTGTTTATAATTGTTATTGATTTAAATAAAAAGTTTATAATTAGAGATGTCTAACTCCGTAATAGTAAATGGAAGAAACAGATTTCTGTGACGAAATTTTATTGCTGATCGCCTCCATTTAACAACCCAAAACAATTATTTCATCAGCAATAGAATCTAGAAATTCTAGATTATACTGCACACGTTCATAATCAATAAGTTGGCTAAACAATTTTAAAAGATAATTTCTTAGTATCTGAAACGAAGACAAAACAAAAATATTCCTTCTGACGGTTGTGTAATATCTAGGGGCTGTCCATTAATCACGTGATGTTTTTTTAAAATTTTTTAACCCTTCCCTCCCCCATGGTGATACGTGGTGAGGTTTGAGACTACCCCCCACCCCCCACCAAAAATCACGTGTATTTTTAGGACCTACAAAAAATCTTAAATTTTTTATAATATTATTTTTAAGTACCAGTATAAAGTATAATCTAATCCTACAACTATACTACATACCTTCTATCACTCTGCAACGAGATACCACTAGAAGCAGCTTCAGAAATGATGGCCACATCCTTTTCTCCGTCCATAAACCGTTTTTTCTCAGCAAGATTTAAAGTTTCTAGGGGTATGTCAGCCTCCGCCCGACTTTCGTATACTATTTGACCATCCTCGGTTTGTACCACGCGCCCTTTTCGACCCGTCATCTATTCAAGGCATTAGCAAATCATTATATTATATAAGCGAAAATATGTAATAGAACACAAGTGGAAATAAAAAAAAAAACGTGTGTGTACTTGTGTACACGCGTTAGAAGTTATACTTGTTTGGCGTAATAATTTTCTTCGTGCATTTTAGAGGGACGTTTCCCTCTTCGAATTGCATTTTTCTAGTCCATTTTAACGGTCACTTTAATCGAAACGATATAATATGTCCTAATCATGATATTTTACAATAAACGCTATGTTTTTTATCATAATGGAACGGGTTTTCTCGTAAATAAATCATTCTTTTGGTTTTAATAAACATGACTCTGATAAATACTACGCCATGACAGACAATGCAACTTGTCGATAAAACAAAGCAAACGTCAAGTGTCGGTGTCGGTTTTTTGTGACGGTGTGCGCGCCCATAGTAAAAATTTACTCTCATAATTTTTCCCTAACGCGCCAAAAGAAGTATAACTTCCAAAAGGAAATAATAGTTGCCACGCAATAAGTGAAAAATGGTTCTTCTGTTGTTAAAACACATTTAAATAATGAACCACACTTCTTGTCATACGTCACTCGCATTTGCAACAGTAAAGACAAATTTTCTTGTCTAATTTTTAAACAATAGAATAATACCTCAGCAACATTATCGGTGCCGCCCAATTCGTCAACTAATTGATCGAGCGTATTGGGAGGTAGACGTCGTCCAAGCTTTTCGATGTTGGCTAATAATTCCTCTTTCATACTGCAAGCTCGCTCTATTGCTGAACGTGGCGGAGCCACTTTTCGTGATGGACCTAAAAATATGTAATTAAACTTTACAAAAAAGTTGGCTGCAAAGTACCTACCCAACATAGCTTTAAGAATGTATGTTTGTGTAAGTTAGTACACGTAATACCAGTCCCCAAAAAACTATAATGAACTATTTAATTACGAAAATTAAATTAATATTACCAATATTATATCTAATATATAAAATTCTCGTGTCACAATGTTCGTTCGTTCCCATACTTCTCCGAAACGGCTCGATCGATTCTTATTAAAAAATTGATTCATATTCAGTAAGTCTGAGACTCGGCTACTATCTATCTTTCAAACCCCAGAATGTTAAGGGTGGCCCGGCCCACCCCTGAATTTTATTTTTTAGATAAAATATTTTGTTTTTATTTGTTTACGATACAGCATACAAAAGACATACAACCCTAATTTTCACCTCTCTAAGATGAACCCCTATTTTTTATTTGTTTATTTAAATCTTATTACTTGAACTCTGAGGTAGCATAGCAAAATGTTCCATGTTGCTATGTACTAAAAAGGTAGGCTAAATAAAATCACATTAAGTAGAAACGAAGTTCGCGGGGGCAGCTCATAACCTATAAAAGTATGTTAAACCTTGCAGTCAAAGTATGCGCCATATGCGCGCTTAGAAAGTTCTTCAAGAAACTTGGCGAGCTTCTCTTTGTCAATTATGTTCCCAAGAAAAAGTTTAAAGTATTTACACTTATGCTATAACACATGCTTTTATTATATATCCACATGATTCTAAAAGTATGAAATATATAACCAAAAGTACATTAAATGTAAAACCAAATTTAATTACTACAAAAAGACTTATTAACTTTCGGATGCAAACAAACGGATGTTATTGGATCCAAACAAACATCAGTCCAATAAATGATGTTTATTAAATCGGCAGGCGCACAAAGGGCCTTCAAAATTAATAGAGATATAGGTGTACACGTGTAGGGGTGTGGAGGTGGGTGTTGGGACATTCGGAGAACCGGGAGCGATCGATGCAGCCGGCCTGCAGCCCGGGATAGGGTTGCCAAATTTATTTTAAACACATTTATTTCAATTTTTTGACGACGGATGACGATTTACCGTTTTCTTTATAATATGAATTAGAGTCGCTAGTCCTGTCTTCTAACATATTTTGACGGTTTTTCAAAACTTAAACGACTTAAGTCTCACGATTGCAGTTCATTTTTGTTCAATTTTCTTTGAATTGTACTTTATGCGTGCATCAAAGTTAAGATATACATTCAATAGTAAGAATAAATAAAATTATATTGCAAGAAAAGCAATATTTCAAGTCATATTTATTAAATGCAAGCTTAAATATTATAAAATAAAAAGGGTAACTGCCATCCCTAGCACCTGCACTAGACAGTCTCATTCAATTTGCTTCGCCGAATAGCTTCCTCATTTATGTATTATATCAATAGCACGGTACTACATCAAAGAGAAATATTATATTGGTTCGTCTGGGAAATTGTAATTACACTACCTATTTCTATACATATATTAAGTTGTCCCCTTGTAATACTCATTAAGCCCGAACACACACAAAGTAGTCTAGTCAAAAACACACAAAGAGATGTGCGCTTGTTAAAATCAAATTAATACCTCTTAGTTACAAAGCTTCCCAACTTATCGACGTCTATTCTAGGAAATATTAATAGACAATATATTTTCCTCCTAAAGATCCTTGAGACACGAAGAGCCCGTTGCTAAGTTACCATGAGTTTATTTTGTTATAAGCTTATAAAAAATTCTCAGATCATCTTATTCTTATAACGGGTACTCAATAGCTAAAGCGACTTCAGCTAATCTTGAGACAAAGTATTCATTACGAATTGATTTATTATTTTACGTAATGAATCAGACCGAGTATCAGAGAGAGAGTAATCAGACCTATAAAATACCTAATGACTTTTGTATTTTACAGACAACACACCTACGCCGGAAAAATAGGTTTTTAAAGTTTTGAAAATCTATAAGGTTTTCATATGAGATAAAAATTTCGCAGTTTGGAAATTTTTGTGGAGAGCCAATCTAAAAATCTGTCGGTTAGAAAACCCGTGGGTGGTTTAAATTTCTCTTTAGCAAAACAACTTTTGATGCCACTAAAAATCAATACTGTTGTGCCGATTGGTTGAAAGAAATAGAAATAAAACTACAAGGACGTTTCCTTTATATATGAGTGGGTTAAAATATTCAAATTTTCTAAAAGTTAAGATATTGTATTGTAATTCAAAAATAAATTTCATATTATTTTTAACATCTAATGGCCAATGAATTCTTATAAAAAATATTAGTCATAAAAATATCTCATAATAATGTCATTGGCATAACAATGGCAAATCAATTCACGCCTATATTATTATCCAAACTCATTATCACACACTAGGCCTTTATAAAACAAACTAGAAAAGCCTTTGAGGTCTGGGCCTCAAATTTCTCTATCTGTATCATGCTTTTCCCATTTGCTAATAGGCAAGTAGGTGATCAGCCTTCTGTGCTCGACACACGTTATCAACTTTTTGTTTCATCACTATGTTCTCTTTCACCGTACGAGCGAGTATTAAATGCGCAATAAACAAAGTCTATTGCACAGCCGGTACGGTTCGAAGAGAACATTGTTCTAACAATAGTATAAAATAAAAGCAAACCTAAATTAATACTTAACTATATAGTTAATTTACTGATGATACATGATTAATTACCTAGATATAACCCGTTGGTGCCAACGGGGGTGCCGGTCAGACTCTGGCCACTGTTAGTTTTGACTGTGACTGTAGGCGTTGTGTTTTTCTTCTCAAACATCGTTTCAATCTTGTCTTGCGTCGTGTTTTTCTTCTTCGCTGCTACTTTTTTCTTTTTCGTTTGTTTCTTTTTGCGATTTACCCAGGGTTCTGTCAACGATAATGGGTTTAAATTTTTGTGTTCATATATTTTACCCGCCAGCGACATGGATTAAAAGCTTTAATGAATATTTTAAACAGCTCAATTAAGTAACCGCGAAAGTGTAACTACATTCGTATATTATGAGCATTGTGAAATGTCCAATAATAAAGATTAGGTCATAAATGTGGGATGAAAGAACGAGCACAAATATAACGAAAGTAGCTCTTTCTATCAAACAATTGAGCACCTATTTCAGCTGCTTTCAAAGCTGACCAATAAATTATCTCTCGAAGAAGATTTATAATTATATGTATATCTAAAAAACGGTGTAATTTCGAACCCTATTGCTTGAATAGGCAATGCAGGCATTTTAATCCTCCGATTGGATCTATGACAAGCTTATTCTTAAAATCCTAACTAAATTACTTTTGTGTTTACTTTAAAACAACTAGATTCAAAACAGACAAACAAAGAACAATTGCTATTTCACCTAATATATTGTTTGAAATCAGTAAAAGACCTACAAATAAAAGTACTCACAGCATAATATCAAACCACCATGAGTTTTCAATGACTATTAATGTGAAATGCAAATAATAACCGAACGGTACCAATATTTGTGCACCTATTACGCTCTTTGAGATTTAATTTTTAATCCATAAATAGCGAATGCCCCGCAGCGAACCCGTTGTAGAATTGTAGCTAATAATTCGCATCGCATACTGTGAGATTAGTTTACTGCGAATCCGTTTTCAGTATTGATTTTGAAAGCTGGAAATTCATTTCTAGGAAGCGAAAATAGCTTCCATAATTGGACCGACAATATTCTAAAGTTGTAGTTACTTGAAAAGCAACTTATATGTAGTAGATATGGTGTTCAGAGCTTTCAACTTGTACTTCATATTTAGCTTTAATGAAAGGAACTTATTTATGCTATAATGTTATGAGAATATTCGTTCCATAACGCACCAATATTTCAGTCACCTTATAAATGTACCAACTATATATACCAATATAAATTATTACGTAGTCCCAAAGTTCTTCATAAATAGAAATAATGATAAAAACTAGTACTGATCAGTTTTTATTATATATCAATTAATAGTACATAAATTAAGAAATAGAAATAGCATAAAATTATTCGAAATGACCTCCCTTTTTTTAATACAGGCCCTTGCCGCGGAGTCGTCTATGCAGCACACCATATTCATGTCGATTTCATACTCTTTTTTTAAAGATACTTCAGACACTCCAAATTTTTATGGTTTATCACAGACCTTCCTCTCTAAGACCTGCCAAATTTTATAGTCCAAAGGATTAAGTCTGACGGAGGAAGGCCAATCCTCATGTCTAATTAAGTGATTTTTGACTCACCAGTTTGAGTGTCTTGGCTTTTTGCAGGCGCAGAGTCCTGTTGGAACACAAAGTGATTCCGAAAATAGCGTCTGGGCAGGTCTTTGACAACTGTCCAAACCGTGTCTTGATACACTTTTGACTGGTTTTGACCCCCTTTTCGCAAAAATGAACCTCAGTTGGCCTAATAGGACACTCCCAACCAGACCATTACTGATGATGGATATGTCCATGTTGCACCCTCGGAACTTTATTTCCAGCTTCTTCAGAACTCCTAGCGTACACTCTATCATTCTGTTTATTGTACTCTCTTCAATATCGAAAAATTTTTCGTCCGTAAGGAGGGGAAATCACGGTGTCGGTTTTTCGGTACCGCTTTAACAAACCCCGCGATCTCTTAAGCCTTATTCTTTTAGACGAGCATTAATAGGTGCCCTTTCTTTCTTTTGTATGCGTAGACCAGATCTTCATTTAAAACCTTTTTTCTGTTTTCCTACTGACACCCATCTGCAAAGCCATCAACTTCTGTTTTCGGACAGGTTTCTTGCTATCCGCGCCTTGATAGCTTTGATCACTGCTGGTGTCCTTGCGGAGCGTGGCCGGCCAGTTCTTTTCTTGTCCTCAAATGGAGACTTCATTGTACCTATCAATAGTACGGTACACAAACCTAAGCGTTATATTTAAATTTTTGAGCAACTTGAAAATGGTACTCGCCGAGTGCCCACAGCGGTGCAACGCAATAACAGCTATTGTTTTCTTTCAATTCCACTCCATCTTGAAAATTTACGGAAGTGATTTTTTTTGTTTTAAAACAATAGTCAAACAATCAAAAATAGATTATAATTATTAATTTAATTACTAATTTAAAATAATGTGCAGTGACAGAACTTTGGACCAACTACGTATATACATATACGAAATTTTGTACTATCATTAAATAGGGTAGTAAAACAATAAAATTTGGTGACATTGGTTTGTAATTTACAGGCGATCGGCTAATTAATAATAAATAACTTCACTAGTAAATCAATATCGTTACAAAACCATTTTTTTATTGAAAAACCATAACGCGGGCGTGTTTATACAGCACTGTCACTATACCATGTAAGATTAAGTAAACTGTACGAATGTAAAAAATTATACACACGCCGTTATAATTCCTAATATAAACTGTGAACAGCGAGCATTGTACATTAGTACATACATATTCTAAATTGAAAAAATTCTACGGAAAATAGACTTTTCCAGATAAAAACAGTATTAATAAAGCTTAGTTATGACAATGTTATTTTTAATTTATGTATGTATGATTCTTTTAAAATAGAGTTGCGTTATAAGGACAGAATAAATATTACTCACCATCGTCATTGTCGCTACCACTAAACTGGAAAGGATTGGTGTCACTCAAATCCGAGTCTGATACGCGTCTCTCTTCATCCGAATCTGGTTCCAGCTCCAGTTCGTCTTCTGACCCACGGAAGAATTCATCGCTGGATGAGCCGCCACGAGCACGCTTGGCCGCCATGTTCGCTTGTTGCCGTGACGTCACTGTTTATTGTTCGAAATGCAACTTTGTATTTATTATTTGCTATGCCTTTGTAAACCAATTATAAATAACACAAATCCAGTGGCGCTGCAACCTAATAAATATAGATCTCACCTTGCACTTGCGTTATTTATTTATTTTGTATTCCTACAGCTAACATAAATTATATATACTAAGGTTAAAAGGGGTAAAAAGAATATCCATAGCGCAAAATCACCTGCGTCATTAGCATACCCCACATACACACCTTCACGTACTTACCCCCACTTTTACACCATCATACAACACAGCCAAATTAGGTACCAAATAATTGAATAATTTTTATTGTTTGTTTCCTTTTGTAATTTTTTTAAACCTTTTTGTAGTTCAATATTATTTATTCCATCTCTAGCTATATTTTAGTGTAAGTGTTTGTAACATTTAAAATAATTTTATTTACACAAATACAGTATTTACAATGTTCTTAACCTATAAAGTAATAATAAAAATAATTAAAGAAGAAAGAAGAAAATGTGTGTGTGTGTGTGAAAAGTGTTTGTTATATTTATCTATATAATAAAAGAAAAATGGTCTTCGTTTGAGGCTCCTTCACGCCTAAACCACTGATCGTATCGACATGAAACTACCACCATTCGATGCGAAATTTTTCCTAGATGGTTTATGGCTATTTATTCCAACGTTCCTTCATTTTTTTATTGCTGTTTTACTTTTATGAAAATTTATCCATACGGACTTCACCGCGGAAACATTCGGGGAGGCTTCCTAGAACCTCTAAACGTCAACATCTGTTAAAAACTCGATTTTCGAAATATTTCAATTTTCTTAGCGGGAAGTTAAAAAGAAGAATAATAAAAATATGAAAAAAAATAAAATAATGAAACATAAAATTTATTTTAATTCGTCCAGCAAAGCGGGCGCGAAACGGCTAGTATTATATATAACAAACAATTACACTATATATAAATAAATAAATATACAATAAAAGTTATTAACTGCGAAATACCCAATTCGGCTGTTCTATGTTATGGTGTGAAATTAAGAGTATGTACGTACATCATATACACCATCTGGGGTGTGCTCATGATGCAGTTGATTTTCTTGTTGTCAACCTTCTGTGCCTGAGTCATGTCGATTTTTGGGTCTTAATCATACCGGTTTCCTTACGATGTTCTCCATCACCGTATGACTAAGTATTGACTGCGTACTCAAACACTTTATGCCGAGATTTGAATGCCCAATCTTAATGTCAAGTCAATGTCGAGTAGCGCGTTCAAATTGCGTAAGGTAACACTGCTAACAATTTTAGACTGATCTTGGTCTCATGAAAAGTGATAATTAACAGATTTAAGTTAATAAATCAAATAAATACGGTTTAGAAAACAAACCAAGGCAAAAAAAATATTGTAAATTGAAAAACATTAATAGAGGTCGGGTCAAAGCTTGGACAAAGAACAATGTATGGAGCTGACATGACAAGCTTTTAAAATTTCAAAACACGTCAAGAATACATTTACTATTACACAGTTCTTATTTTGTCCCTGAGTTATTTTTCTAGTATAATAGATAATTTGATATCCTCAACAATAAACTAGCGCGCATAATAGAGGGAAAGTTTTCAAACGAAATATGTATTTGCTTTTTCGTTTTGATGAAAAATGTCGATATCAGAACCGGCATCGCGCAGGTACAAAACTTCATTTGTAGTATCTGTATACATTTCTATTTTCGGAAATAATGTATATTAACCATCGTATTCATAAGTATTTAATACAAATAATTTGTCGTGATCGTCCTTTTATAGAAAATACCATACTCCGGCAATTATTAAGAACAAAATTAAGGAAAAATTTATACGCCAGTAGAAAGACACACTATTAAAGCTTTGTAGTGTGTACGGTATATGCTTTTTCATTGATAATTTTATAGTTAAATAAGTGATTATGCCTCTTAAGGAAAGCTTTTTTTGGCTGGCAGTCCAATACAGTACGTCTTGATTAGTCATAGAGGTTGTGAAATACCGTAGTTAATAAAAAAATTGACCACATTCTTAGACAATATTATCATAATTATTGTTCATTTCATCTCTATACTGTAATGCAAAAAATTTCAGTCATCTGAAGTCAACCAACAGGCTTCCTACATTAAGCTCCCAATTATAACCATACAATATCGATACACTAAAGAATTAATTTCACTAGTGGTGCTATTATTCATTACGAAATCATTTCATTTTATTGTTATGATATTTTCTAGAAATTATTTTGAAACATTCCTGTTATGTTTGTGTATACGAATTTTATACAACTTACGTTTTCTCTTGGAGGTGTTGGCATCATCATCGACACCATTCTTGCCATTAGTGACCGCTGGTAGTGTGATAAGCGGTGCTTTCTTTGGCTCCAAACCCAGCAACCTGTTGATTCGCTCTCGATCCGGCGCCGGGAAATGTTTCTCAACTAATGTTTGGAACACTCCTCTGTAAAACCAATGTTCTTTAAGCTAAGGTCAAACGAGCTTTTAACGATGTTATAATATCTGATTATTATTAATTCATTACTCTAAATTTAATAGATAGTAACTATAGATAATGCAATGGAGGTTTTAAAATAATATAGTCTGTCAACTGTCATTATATACATAGTAAAACTAAATTAATTTTGACAACTTAAAATAATTTCATATCCTACATGCCTCCATCCATCATCCTACGAACAAACTTCTATATATTTTAATGCTCTATTTTTAAATTAAATTCTAAAGCGATAATAAAGGATGTGGAGTGTTTTTTAATACTATTGTTTTAAACAATAGAGTTCTCAGTATATTTTCTGTAACCGTACGAATTGTCAATATAATTTAATACAGGATATATTCTACGTTAATAAAGAAACCATAAATAACAGATTTATGACACCTGTGTGTCCATGCAAGATACAAAGGATAGATCTAGATAGTTAAAATGTAATATTATTAAAACGTATAAGAGTTTTGAAGAGAAATATTTATTTAGAGTAATTTATTTATGCAAGTTTCATGAATTCCAAAGTAACGTGCATAGCAATCCTCATAATTAACAAAGAATTAATGAGACATGCACGATGATAGTAATTTCGTTTCAATACAAAAATAATTAAAGATATTCTGATACACATATTTGCATATCATATTGTGCAATTAAAATTACTTCATAAATGTGTGCACCTAATCATACCCTTGTTGCCACGGGAGATGTGAGAGGCTGTGTAACACCCACTCCCCGCGGCCGGGCGTCCAGGGTAAGACAAGCATGCGCGATGAACGCACTGTATCATCGATTGCACTTCGTTCGCACAGATGAAACAACTGCATTTTGCTTTCTGACGCGACGCGAGGCGCTCACAACACTGAGCGGCCACCAACCGTCAACGTGACATTTAAACTTTTAAAATGTTTACCGAAGAGCAACTTAAAATATACCTCGAAAACATCTCGCCGAATCGAGAATTTATAAGATTTGAATTTTCAAGTGCCGAGAAGTTCATAATACAAATTAAATGCATAATAGAAAAAAAAGAATCAATTGAGCTTCACAAAAGTAACATAGACAAGTGGATAAAGGCCTTTTCGAAGTTTACAGCCACTACTTGGACGGCTCAAATTTCGTACACTAAGATGAAAACAGTATTATTTCAAAAGGATTGTGTTTGTCAACCCATCAACTATACTAAAAGCAAGAAGGACGAAGCGGAAACCGTGTGTAAGGCACAAATCAAATTTGAGATAAAATTAATAGATGAGACCACTGATTTAAATTTATTTATCACGATAGATTTCGACCACTCTCACAGCGTTTATACATCAACAGCCACGTCCTTTGTCGAGACTATGTCCGACACTGATAAAAAATTTTATGACTATTTCGATAACGGCTTCAACGCTACTACATCGAAAACTTACCACGAATTATATCTGATAGAAAAATATGGTACAAGATCCTCTCAATACCTTACAGACGAAGATATAAACCCAAGTATTAATCATATAAAATTTTTGATTGACAACATGCAAAGCAAGGATATAAAGCGCAGTTTCAGAGATATACTTGAGGCTAAAAAGGCTTACATCAACGATTCCGGCGGCACACTAATGTACACAGAAAATCCTGAAATTGTCGTCATAATAACGCCACTGATGAAAAAAGTAATGATGAATAATAATTTGAATTGCGTGTTGGTAGACAGCAGCCTCGTCAAAATTGGATTAGTTGTGACAATGTTATACATTTCTAACAAAATTGGAGCTTTGCCTATCGCATGCGTTCTACACACAGCAGCGACTAAATCCAACTTTAAGGGCGCTTTTAAAATGTTAAAATTGACCATAAACACACTTGTTAACAACACCTTCAACCCAAAAATATTTATCGTCAATGATTTGGTGGAACAGAAGAGTGCATTATCCAAATTTTTCCCAGAATCAAAGTTCATTGCATCTCGTTGGTCCATCTGTTGCGAGATTTGGAAGTGGCTCTGTAGCGACGATCTTAAGATCGACCACCGTAGGAGACACTCGCTTATGTTTTTCTTTAAATCTTTGATTTATGCAAGCGCTGATACCGCTAAGACACATTACACCAAATTATTGGTGAGTGATTACTTTGATCCCAAGGTCGGGTTGCGTAAATATATTGACTACATTTGGGGACGATCAAACGAATGGATTGTTAAAGATGACTTTCAACTTAACCTTTTGATGGAGATATCAATCCGGCTTATAAAGGAATTTTTTTTACGAAAATGTAGATTTTTTAATATAATTATGATGATCGACGTCGTGTCTAAGCTTTTGGAAACTCACCTGAAAGCAGTGATCAACACATACATTGATGGGATGCCGAAAATATTACATTACACGAAATTCTTTCACCGATCTTACACTGTTTGTTCAAATGTCGAATTTGTGCAGATCCGTTTAAACGAGTATCTGGTCCAGTATCAATCATCGCCTAACTTGTACTATCATGTGAAAACTGACACGATTTGTTGTGACTGCCCTATCGGAAGGCAAGGACGACTGTGTGACCATCTAGGCATCATATTTAACAAGGATTCAGTCAGAACGCTCAACATTCCACTATTGACAAACATTGAAGTAGACTTATTGATGAGATTTGTCGGCTTAAGTAATGACAAAAATATAAAATGTGAAATTATGGAAGACGAAGAATTCAAAGAGGCTATAGAAAATGCTACAGACTTGGAGAAAAATACTGTGTACCTGAACAAGTACCAGAGGGATTGCGTTGTTGAACGTTCAGAAGACACAACGGTGGATCAATCGGAGTACGATGTCCTACAGAAACCACATTTTTATATCTTCAAGAAATTTAAAAACAATAACATCAAAGCTATAAGGACAGCTCCAGACTCAGTTGAACTGAAAGCAGCCGACAAATTAAAAAATAACAATTTCATTTGTAAACGTCCCGGTTTCGAACGCAAGCTCCGCCCAATCGAATTATACATGAATGCTTTTAAAAACTTAGAAGAACAGTTTTTAACATTGATGAATTATTTTCAAAACAACCCGAATGACGCAACCACAGCAGCCATGGAACACGTATCGCAGGAGTTAGCCAAAGTTATGTCGCAAATTAACGTGGAGAACATCACTTCAAATGTTATGAAATACAAGAAAAGGAACCACAACGATTAAATCGTTATATTTTTAAGATAAGAATTATTACAAATATTGGTGTCTAAAATAAATCTCTGAGCTATGTTTTTATCAGTGTATTGTAGTAAATTGTATATTTTTACTGTGAAACAAATTATTTTAAACTTACTGATTTATATCGAATTATTTAAACATGTAATTAGGTAAGCTCAAATGTAACATTGTATTGTGAATTACGTAGAAATAAGTAATATATGTGGATATACTTTCAATATTTTAAACCGTCCTAAGGATAATTTAATTCTGTCTGTTGTTGTTTCATGATGTTATTTTTGGTGAAAATAAATGTATGAACAAAAAACATATTTAATTTTATGGGGTATTTTATATTTCCCATTACAAGGACCTATTTAATCTCAATAATGGTAAAATTTATTAAAATCCCTGAGACATTTTTACTATATTTTTACTGATTTTTTTTTCTACATCCTTTTCTATTTCAATTGTATTTAGTTTTGAATCTAAATTTAATAACGTAGCGAATCAAATATAATTAAGAGACGTCAAACCTTTTTATCAGATTTAAAGAAATCATTACGCTATTTACAAAACACACTCTATGCCATAGTTTGAAAACTCGTTAAAATATTATTATATTACAAATGTAGCAACTACTTCAGAGATGGCGTTCCGTGTGCCATTTATAAGTAATCGGTCGGCCAACAGATGGGGCTACGATTAATATTCTTTACAATCGCATGAAAGCTGAGTGCTTTTAAACACGGTGTAATCAGTAATTTAAATATTTAGTCGCAATAGATTTCATTTTAATCTGTTCTTATGCCATTGCAACGACTGTATCATAAACAGACATGACATTAAAAATATGCGCACAGCTATTAAAATTAACTATCTCTTAACTGAGATTATCGGGCATTACAATATTCTATGCGCATACCTATGCAACACAGCCCCTGTACAAATCTATAGGAAATTTCACATTTAACATCATGTACGTAGGACTTCATTAGCAACCTAATATTGCACTTTTTGTAATTAAAAAATTACGTCGAATTGATAACCCGTCGGGTTTTTTTTAAGACAATATCTGAATGGTGTTTATACGCATATACATTTTAATACCTATTCTACTTGTTTCAGATGATGACTTAATAAAATAGAGTTATTGCACGTTGTTGTCCACGTAAGGGGTAAATTAATAGTCAATTTAATTCTCAAAACCAGTGCTTTATTTAAATTATGGAGGCATGCATGGCATCATTGATTGCAATCTAAACTATCAAAGTTATTCTAAAAAGTAAAGTATACACTAATTGTCACTTAAACGAGTAATAGATCACCAATCCATAATATTATATACACAATAATTAATGCTTAAAATTTTTATATCGAAATTGTGAAGTAGAAAACCTTGTCCATTCATTGCACATTTAATGGAAAATCTGCCACACGTAGCAATTACGTAGTTTGTACATGAAATCCAAATGTACAAGACTAATTAATTAGATCGTTAGACCTCTTTGAAAAATTTACTAAATTAAGTGCAGCAGGATTACATAAGCAGAACAATATAATATTTTTTAATACAGTTGCTCAAAAAGTGGCGTATTGCAGGAACGTATAGCGTTCGGGATGTGGGCTATTACACACTCGTGCTTTTTTTTTTACCTTTTCCGAACTAGTGCGTTATCTTTCCCAACTGTCAAAATAATGTATATTAAAAAGAAAAAACCAACCACGAAGTTTTTACTAAAAAAAATTCATAGAAATTTTTATGATTCATGCAAATATTTCTAAAAAGAAGCTACTGCTTTGTTTCAATATAAGATTTAATGATTTGATTCAATGAGTTAGGTTAGATTTCATTTCATCTCCTTAAATTTCATTTCATATCAATAAAAAATTGTACTGAAGACTTGGCTGTATGGGCATAGTTCCCTTTGCCTACCCAGAATGGGTGAAGAAAAAAAAATCTGCTTATATTCTTTTACGGTTGGCGCCATTTTTGGTAAATGTTCTTTGCGCGTTTAGTTGTTTGTTATATTATATATTAAATATACATGAAAAATCATACGAAATAAATAATAGTTTGTCTCAAACAGTAAATAAATATGCAACCTAAAACTTCTCCAGTTAGTATAAAAAACTGTACCAATGTATATGTGAACAATAATTTGTATGAGAAATAAATGATTAGTGAGTTGAGTTTATTGTTTTTTTATTATTTTATTAAATTGCATAATTTTTTCGCAACTGTATTAAAAATAGTTGTTCAGTACACGTGCGGAACCGTCATTGCAACTTGTTCCGACTGTCAACCCTCACCTTCGGCTGCGCCTCGGCTCGGGTAGACATTTGTCGAAACTCTTTGCAATGACAGGCTTTCCGCACTTGTAATGAAATATACTATTTGAGCAGAGGAGAAGCACGGGCAGCCTACTATTTAATTCACAAATCAATAAAATTCAAAATTAGCAGTATCAGATCATCAAAACTACGGCAATATCAAATATAATACAAGTATAATATGACTCACTTGGCAGTTGACACGAAATCGCTAAGTTCGCCATCGTCTCGTTCGAGTTGCTCCAACGTACGCGCTTCGCCAGTTGACTGAAGACCGATCACCACACATTTGCCGCATTTAACCGCTTCTCGGGCTGTTATCACCGCGTGGTTCACCTTTTAAGAATTCAAAGAGTTTACACAATTGTTGCTAAATAACAAGGCCGGCAGACTCGTGAGCCTTTGAGAATTGTGTGTATCCATGGGCAGCAATATCACTTAACATTATCAATATAAAACTTATATCCGCAAAAAAGCAGGATATTTATGAGATCTCACAATATGAGGGAAGGTGAAAAAAGTGTGTAACAACTTAATTTAAATATGTATGTTGTTAACAACCTCCTTTTCCTAGTGCGAGTGCCATGATAGGATTTCCTAGTGGCGTGAAGTGATGCAATAGGTTCGTCTTACTGTCCTCGCGTTTCCTGCGGTGAGAGATTCCCGGAGCCCATCCCCGCTCTCCAAGAATTAAGGTGTAGAAAAAACAGAAACTACCCCAGGTGGGTTAACACACGCGCTCGCGACGCTCAGCATGCGGTGGTGAACGCACAGGTTGCCCTTCGTATTCTGGGGGGTAATTCTGCGCACTACGACCAACATAGATCATTAACAAATGCTATACCTTAGAAGCAATACACAGGTACTTGAAGAACCTCTGATGCGCCGACCAGAACTGTCCCCACATTGTTTTCTTCATCCGGGCTTCGGCGTCTATCAGCTCTGCTGCCTCAGTAAAACGTTGCATTGCCTCCACCCACTGCCACCGAATTAAATTATTAAAATTTCATAAGTTAATAAAAAATATAATCGTAAAACATTCCGAAAAATAGATTTTGAATGATCAAATAACTTTTATTTTTGCAAATTATATCTTATATAAGAAAGATTTAACGCGACAAATCCACACACGTTGAATAGTAAAGCTACTTTCCTTCCATCAACTTTTTTATCTCGGAAAAAGTAGGAGGCGCTTGACTAATAAACGCATAATTTAATTTGTGAGAGAGTTCCAACAGTAATAAGTTTATATATGTCCATTGGCCAGTCTAATAATGTTCGTCTATGCAAAACGGTAACGTACAAATTAGCATTAACAACCTACGTATTGAGAGCGCAAACTACGTACGAATAAGAACTCATACGCACACATAAGTATGAGATTGCAATTTTGGAATTAACACTTCTAATAACTCACCAACGCCACAGCCTTATCATATGTCTCCTTGAAAGACTCGCAAAGCGGTACCTCCTCAATCTTGAACGACACCCCGTGAAAAGAGAGCTGCCTTGCGATATACATTCCCCTCATTTTCATATCCATAGCCACTATCTCCATAGCTCCCACCCCGCTGGAAAGTTATCGATGCATACTTGAACAATACAAATTTAATTAAATACTTAGGTGATTAAAGTAAACCTTTACCGAGGTCTATTTAGATGTAAATATTACAATTGTTTTAAGGTTACATTTTTGGATAGTTATTTAGAAAAATAATTGAATGTAAAAAATTCGTAATTAGTTGAAACAATTTAGTATATTGCTGGGAAGTCATGTGATCCCATTTTAAAAGTAATAATAAATGACACAGATAGCTGATATCGTAATTGCACGTAATGACCACTGACACTATCTCTCACTTACCGTTTCTCAACAGCGTTGATAAAGTCCATAAAGGTAGGGAACGGAGTCCCCTCCCCCCAAATGCCAAGTCGGACCATATATGCCATGTTCCTCGGCTCTGAGGCCCCAGTAGCTGAAGCATAAACCACCCGGGCTTTGGGCAATTTATTCTGGAGCTCTAACGCTGTTAAACCTGTTTTGGTCGCTTTACCAGACCCGACGGGACAGAGATTCTTTGCCTTGTGACATTCGTCGAACACAATCTAATTGTTGAGTTAAGATTTAAAGGGACATAAAATTGGAAAAACGAATACGAAAAAATTGCTGGTTATATATGAAAAAATACGATAAACTGTATGTTACTGAATTGAATTAAAGTTTATAAAAATTAAATCAGTCTTTGGGGCCGTTCAAGTTTTTACACACATTACCCACACATTCGAGGATTCCTACAAAAAATTAATACGTTTATGTACTATTATTTTTCAGATTTCAGATATAATTCTTTGCCACTTGTGTATCGCACAACAGCCCACTGTTAGGCATGTCGATCGTGATGCTTCGACAAATAATATGTTTTTATCAAAATCTTAAAGAGGATACAAGTCCGTCAAAATCTTCCCCACACCACTGCAACAGCTGCTTTAGCCTAGTGCGGTATTTGGTGTTTGCGTGCGTCTCTCCAATAAGCGCCGAGTACGTACAAAATACCACGCCCTTTTTCACGTTGCCGTTTATGCCGGACGATATTTTAGCGTATTTGAACTGGAATTGTATAATCAGTTATTATTTACATTGACTTTGCACTAAACATGACTGGTGCGACACTCATTACCGAGGCTTTATTTAGTATATTCCCAATTAATACATGCTCAAAACTAGAAACCAGTATAAGAAAACAGAGGCACAGAAATTTTGCCTCGTGCACAGAAAGTGTGCTAGGTAACAGATTATAGCAGAAAACATTAAACATTATTCTTTTTTTAAAGTATTCTCGACTGCAATATACAAAAGTTGCGTAAATAAAAGCATGTACATTACCTTACTAAGTGAGTGCACTTCAATAAAGGAAGCACCAATATCTCTAAGGTCCCTTTCTGCATCGTACTTGAGGTCGTTAGATACAGATACCCAAATGGCTCGTTTCCGTCCACGAAGAAAATTTTCAAATATGATTCCGGCTATTGTACGACCCTTTCCAACACCAGCACCGTCACCTAAAAAAGTTAAATAAATTTTAATGTATCCGGCTCGAAGGACCATCTAAAAATGCATGTAATAAAATTCGATACATGTTTATGAACTTTAAGATTCCCATTGTATTTTAATATCAAACGCCAACCAATGATACTAGCATGAACTAATACAATTTAATAAAGAGTTTAAAAATAATAAAGGTTTTTTTAAATATAGAACTATATACTAACCAATAAGAAACCCAGCACGCGTGCCATCTGGAAGCATATGCTCCTGTGCCTGTGACGCATATACAACCGCTTCAAGTTGCAAAGCGGATAACAAACCGCCACGGATCGTCTCATCGGGAAGCTGTGGTTTATAAGTTACGTCTACCGGCTCAACGGATGACAGAGACGCTGTTTCGACCACTGGATCCGGATGCTTCCGGCCAAGTTTCACTAAAAATGAAAAAGAATTATTTATAAAAACCTACAGTTCTGTTTTAAATTCAATAGAAATAAAAAAATATATTTCAAAAAAAAAGTATTGCACTGCAATTGTCACGAGAAATATAAGATTCACTAACTATAAAATAATTTTAAAAACGACTGTTTTTTTCCAAGGCGTTTTCGTTTATTAGTTTAAAATGAAGTGTAACAAACAAAGAATTTTTACGAACTAAAGTACCTCAAATTATTAAGACATTCAAAAAAAAACAGTAATTTTTCAGCATGACATAACATAAATTACTCACATTTAGTAGGCATATAGTCGGCGTAAGTTTCCGCAACGCCCATCTCTTCATCGTCAACTTCTTCTTCGTCACCTCCGGGTCCCTAAAAAGAGATCACACATAATTTACATACTATGAAGAAGATTATTATGTCCTCGGACACTTAAAGATGTAAAAAAACTCTATTAAGATTCGAAATTTAAGAACATTTTTATTACATTTTGGTCTGTATAGCTATTACAAATGAAATAGTTTTTAATCACATATTTTTATTAGGATCATTAAAAATTTAATAATTAATATCTGTTTAATAAAATTTTGTTTTACCTTATCCATTGACCACGCAGGTTTATTTAACCAAGGAGATCCCAGTCCTAACATATTTGCCAACGGAGCGCCCATTCCAGATGTTAATATCTGGTTCAAGTTTTGTAGCAGATAAGCATTCATGCCTTGCATTCCCGCCATTTCCACTGTAGATGGTAAAAATAAAGATTTGATTACATTCAAAATCGTAACGCCAAAAAAGGGAAGCACATAATTTTGAGGAGGAGGAATATATTAAGTTCTATATATTGTAGTAATAATTCTCAGCTGAAAATCAAAAGATTATTACCGTGTGTTAAGTAAATTAAATGTCAGTTGATTAATGAGTTTTTCATGTGTCATTGATTATTTTAAACATTCAACTTATACATTAAATACAACTATTATTGTTTGAAGTATGTCAATTTTAGATTTATTTATCACATAACAGTTTGGATTACATAATAGAAGAATTGCCAGAATGCATAAAAATACTGGTATATTTAAATCAGATACATGCTTTAAGTTATGCTCCTAAACAAATAGGAAATTAGCTGAAGCTAGTCAACCTATGCTGAAATAAAAGCACCTATATATACTTCTATAAAAGGATAGTATAATATGTATAATGTATAATAGACTGCTATTTCATATTTCAAGAAAACACAACTTATTTATTATTACCATATACAAAAAAATACAAAAAAGTAGTTTTGATATAAATTAAAATAAGCTTATTTTATCTGGCAACCCTTACCAACTACTGTTACAATAAGAGTTACTCACTCTGTGCGAGCAACGAGGCCGCATTGAAGGTGGACGTACCGGGCATCCCCGCAGCTAATAACATTAATTTATATTACCAAGGGCATATTTCCAAGACCGAAAGGAAGGCTGTCACAAAATAAATTTAAAATGTCCTTAAACACATACCATAATTAGAGCTCATGAGAAATTTTTCCCCATTATTAGTGAGATGTTTTCAGAGTATGTAATGTATACTTTAAGATTGAAAAGTTTTAATATTTTATAGTTGCTTTTGCCTGCAGCTTAGCATGTATATATTTGAGTCTTGATCTTTCTGTTGTATACATAAGAGAGTTTTGTTTTATTGCACTAAACAAAAACAACAGAATCACTTCAAATATTAAGATAATTTAGACCAATATATATTTGGTTGTTATCAATATATGTTATGTACAGTTTATATATGTGCATAACTAGACTGTAATATTTTTAGAACACATAACGATAAAACAGTCTACAATTCTCACCTCCTCTTCCAATTCCCAGACTTATGGGTTTAGTGAGAGAGTTAGCAGGTATCCTTATGGGTTTCACATTCGATGCCTGACCAAAAGCCAATCCAGATGGCGCTGAAATGATATACACTACCTTAACATAACACAACAATTAAAAACAATATCTAACTTAATAATACATCACAGGATAATTGTATTTTTTTTAGTGGGGTGCGAAATTTTTGAAGATAAAGTATTCATATAGTAAAAAATATCTGCACATATTTCTTTTTGTTTATGGTTTAAAAACATTTAATTTAACTTCTGCATATAATAATGTTACTCTTTAATAACTGAAATTTACCAGCAAGGGGATTAGTGGTAGGTCTGATGATGACTGGTGGAGTTGGCTTCTTGTCTACAATGCGCGCTGCTGCAGCCAAAGTTTTTCCACCTCCTGAAACACACATTTCATAACATATGTAGTAACCCTTTGAATTTCTTACTTCTCTTTAATATACAAAGAAAGGCACAAAATGTGAGAAGATCATGATAGATAATACATATTGGAGGCAAAGGATTCTTTTTCTGACATGAGAAAATACATAATATGAAAAAAATATTATTACTAATAAAGAGATAATGAAATATTTATACTGTAGACATATTGAACAATCCTTTAATAACTTCAAAATTGATTTATTTTCATATGCTAAGCTTCAATAAATATATTATAAAGATAATAATGATATGTACATTAATAATAATGAAATTAAGTGCTACCAACATGCCTGCATATAACAATCATATATTGTAGTTTTTATATAGTTTTCCTAGCAATATAAGATAAGCATTAAGTATTATAAAGTCACTAAGCTATTATATTTAAAGATATACTAAGTAATAACATAATACTGTACTGCCTATGGACAAACTAACCAATCGCTGTATAAGGGGTTTTGGCTTTAAAAGAACTTTAAATTACCTGGTACTTCCAAGTTGTCCGGATCCTCATCATCATCAAAGTCAGAATCATCTGATGGTGGGTTATCAAATGCTCGTTTTGACTGGAAATTATAGGTAACATTTACACACACTATAAATCCAATAACCTATTAGATTTAATATGTTTATCTAATGCAGTTTAGAGATTATTATTATTATATTACTTTTGTTTTATGTTTTTATATAATTTTTAAAACAAATACAGAATTACTTTTCTTTAACAACAATATTAAGCCTCCCCAAAAAGAAATTTTCCAGGCTGTGAGGCAATGCATTTAAAAAAATTAATGGGCATGAAAAAACCGTGACACATTCTATCTGTGTAATTTAAGTATGATAATCTTATATTGTTTGATTATTATATATTTATATAGTACAAAAAATCATAATTTAGGACAATTTTATCATTTATTACAGAGAAAAGGAAACCATAATAAAAAATAATCAATATATTTTCAAAACAATTATGTGATTTAGTTATTATTAATACACAAAAAAAACCACTAGATATTTAGCATACAAGTACTTCAGTAATTCTTTACTTCAGTCTTCAGCAATACTCATATGTAGTTACATAACTGATAACATGGTTTATTTCTCAATTTTACTACTATTTCAAACTTATCGAAAATTGTATGTTTCATATACTTTGAAAAGTGCACCTTACTGCACAATCATCAAAGAACATATCTACATTACAAAATATTTAGTACTGTTTTAACATTTCTTCATTTAAAAACTGATACCTTAACTATTAAATCTAAATAATAAAGAGTAGGACTTATCAAAACATCACTAGAATGCGTCTTTACCGCATTGCACTATTGTAATTCATAGTCAGTCTTGAGTGCAGTTATTAGGATATATTCTAGCACTAGACCTAGAACCTTCTAAGAAAATCAATACAGCCACACCCTTATTGCATAATTAATGTTGAAGATGCTGACTGCGTCTAATTCTCAAATAAACTATAAGATTTTTAACACATGTGAAACCACCATCACCTCATGACACATTTTTTTGGTTATAAACCTCGAAAACAAGAAAAAAATATTTGATGGCACTACTTTTATTTTAAATAAAAAGAAGCCCGTTAAAAATGCAATCGTATAACATAAAAATCACTATAATATCACAAAATAATTCATTATATTCCATATTATGAACTATGTAAAGTTTGTAAAAAATGTATCAAAACAAAAAACTATCATTACCATTTTTATTTTTCAATTAATTTGTGTGAGCCCCCAAGGCTGCCTTTTTAAACGTTCGTGGTTTTTAATATATTGAAAATATGAAATAAATCACTTTCACAAAATAAAACACGAAAATCCACAAAATCGAACGTTTTAAAAATAAGACGAACCGACGGCGGTCAATGTTTCCGCCATATTAAAAAAAATGTCAAAGACAAAAGAATTTCGTTCAGTTTGACAATCGGATACACCATGATGTCAGTTTGGGAACGGCATCATTAGGTAAGAATTTAGGTACACAGAGTCTTAAGATTACAAATGATATAAAAAAACTTAAACATTAGTTAAACTCTACTTGATCCACTATAAAATTCTTTCAGGTTCTCTACTTTTCGAGTATATTATAATTAATTATTCTAAATTTTACTACGGTATCCGATTTTATAATCGATAACAACCAAAGATAGTATCATTAAGGTGCGCTTACACGAGGGCAATAATTGCTCGGCAACACGAATGGACCTATCTGGAGCAATTAATGGAGCAATTTCAAGAAATTCAATAAATTTCAATAAATTATTTCGGCGATATTGCTTCTAATTGCTCCAGATATTTCATATCGCTCAATGTCGCAGATACGAATTGACGAATTTCCAATGGACTTGGAAATTCCTAGCAATTTTTGTATATATCTCATTCACACTTGTTTGTTTTGCGGCTTGCCGTCTTGCTTGCGGGGAGAACGAGAGGTCGGGTGGAAGTAGGATAGCGCGCGGCAAGAGTCCAGCGCGTAGTCAGCCTCTGTTTGTTGTGTTATAAATAAATTAAAAATAATAAATTAAAATAAAATTAAGGTTAAGTTGTAATTTATAAATAATTAAATAATATATTTTATAATTATTTATAAATTACAACTTCATTCTGTTTTGGTTAATACAACGGTGTTCCTTTTTTTTTACCGTCTAGTCAAACATAGCCAACAGCTTGATTATTTTATGTCGTATTTTTTAATTGATTCATTTAGAATTTTGCAAAGCCGAGGAAATGTCCGTAATAATTTCAGTGCGCTAATTAACTAGCATTCAGCGTAAACATTGGAAATGAAACTGAACTGTTTCCTCGTAACATTATATTTTTGTTTTTTTTTGTTTTGACTGCATTTTGAAATACTACTGCCGTGGAGTACATTACTACTGATTGATTTATTTGAATTAAAAATCTACTTAATTGTGAATTTAAATAAATAAAAAGGTTGATTAATACAATTATTTTTAAATTAAATATCCTCACTTTTAAATTAAAATAACTTACCTTTATATATTCTCGAAGAACTTCTGCAATAGCTCTGATAAGTAGGTACAAATATGATATATCAGAAATTCTAAACAGATACATTAAAACTTTTGTATGAATCTCCAGTTGCCAGAAATCGAAGGGTTAAAGCAAGTTTTGTTGATGCAGAAATTGGTTCTCTCATGTTGGTCGTCTGTTTCATAATTAATGGGCTAACTTTATTCAAAAGTAATTCAAAGTCTGTTCGTGACATTCTAGTAAAGTTTTTGAATAATATATCATCTAATTCTTTACATAATGAAAATTTATCCTCTTTGCCAAAAACGATCGCACCCAGATACGCCTATTCCTTTTCTTTCTTTTTTGTTTTTGATTAATAATAAAAAAAGCACTACAAGCCGCCGCAGCAAGAACAATGTCGTTTATAGCGAGCGAAAACTGAAATGCTCGTGTATGACAGTATTGCCTAGTTGATGAAGTTGCGCCATATCGCTCAATATTGTATTGCGCAGTATTGATGCTTGTTGCCGTTGCCGTAAATTGCTTGATGTAGTCGTGACGTCATAATTGACGAGTATTGACTGGAATTGAGCAATTTTAGTTGCCCGTGTAAGCGCACCTTTAGTCTGTACTAAAAGAAACATCTACCTCTGCTTTTTTAAATCTAAATTAAATTATTTTCAGAAGAAATGATATACATATAACTACTTAGGGGTTCCTAAACAATTTTTATTAACATCGTTCTCCTAAGGTACACAATTACCACTGACTCGTAGATATCATTTTTCTGATAAATTTCGAAGCTTAAAAATCATAAGTTTTGAATTGTAACCCTCCAATTATTCGAGTATTTTAAAATATTTATGTTATATTACATAGGTATTTTAAATTAAAACTTGTACCTTCTGAAATTAATTTGTCTTTAATATTGTATTTGATGACTGTCGAAGTTAGAACCATAGACTAATACAATTCTATGATATTTGAACCACGATCGTCAATCGCCATTCGCCAATCGCCATATTGTTTTAATACATTGTAAAAGCTTTAAAGTATTTTTATTTCATTGGTTCATTTATCTACTTGATTATAAAAGTTAAATCACAATAATCAATTATTGTAATGGATTCACTAGTCGGTTACGGTAGCGATGATGACGTTGAAACTGAACGCTATGGACACCAAGCATCGGTAAGTGTCCTTGATGCATAATTTTAGGTATTATTGAGCAATATGTTTCAATATTTGCTCCTACTACTATAACTACCTATATGTTCAAAAAGACATGTTTAATTTGAGTTTGACATATCTATCTGAGAGTTATAAAAATAAAAACTAATTGGTGAAAACATATTATATGAAATCGGTATTGTACTCACTATAAACTATAATATATATATATATATATATATTATTATACTTCGTTTAAAACATAACATTAAATTATGTTTGTGTTTAGTTTTTGTTTTTCATTCTCATTATTAATTTTCATGTTTAATGAGTCCCTTGCTACATTTATAAATGTATAATGTTTTGATATGGAAGTCTTTATTTAACTATAATCAGTCAAATGGTTTCTTACCATTACACCATTACATTACTACCTTAATTTACTAAATTTTTAAGAAAAAAATATTTCCAAGTAATTATCATATTTGAAGTAATTTCAAATCTCTATTAGTCTTTCTCATGATGTGATTTTCAAGAATTTGATATTAATTTATTTCTCTGCTTGACAATAGACTAATATTATAGGTGGGGAGCCATCGTAGAAGAGAAGATGACACTAACTATGATCAAGTCAACATGGATCTGAGTGAGGTTGGTATATTTTTAATAACCTAGTTAACCATTATAATACATATAACTAGTTCCTATGTAGTAGGCACATTGTGGGTCAATATTGCTACTTCATTAATAATATAGTCTCATTGAGCACTTTTAAAACACTAGGAAATATAAAACTATAAATTTATATATTATTGTCTTTGAAAGTTTTCTAGAAAAATAATGGTTCACCAAATTAGTGTTAAAAATTTAAACTAATGTTTGTAGTAGTTAATACATCAATAGCTTTTATAATCTATATTAGATTATCCTTAATAATGGTATACACTAGTAATGTGTTATATCCACATGTTAGTTATGACATAAAAATAATTTACTCTCTCTTATATATATGCCAAAGTGGCTACCGTGAAACACTAGATATTGAAATATGTATTTGTTAATTTATCATCAAAAAAAAATTAAATTCTTTTCATCGATGATATTAACACTTTTATTATTTTATATGTTACCCATTTGTAAATTGACCAAAACAAAAGTCAAAAACGATCTGCGTGGCGTCAAGATGTCTCCTTCCGGCTTTCCCTCTAGTGACTTTACCATGTAAGTACGTAGAGTTAAGAAAGACATGTTTAATCCATGTTTTTTGTTTATAACTTGGTGGAAAGGTAATATTTTTATATGTATTATACATTATTATTGCTCTTGCCCCTATTAATATTATTGTAAAGGCTTCTTGTGTCTCGGTCTACAAATAAATATCATTTAAGAATTCTTCAACCATATGTTAACAACAAATTTGATGTAAGAAACTTAATTAAACAAAACAAGGTAAAGTAGATAATATAGGTAATGTACATATAATAAAAAGTCTCATGCCATGATCAACATTGTAGGATATTAAAGTAGAAAATGACTGATGATGTTTGTCGTAGGATTCCCAAGGAGAAGAGTCTGAGCCAGAATTGCCGCAGGCTGAGTCACGGGTTTTACGACAGACATCTGGAGAGGACCAGTCAAGCTCTAGTGAGTAAATGTCTTTATAAATAGTATAAGTGTTATTATCATTGACATAACAATATTTATGTGTATTGTTTGTTACTTTGTTATAAATTTGATATGATAATAACACAAAAGTAATTTAATTTTGCTGTAAATAAACCATTTAAAATTTACTATTTATACTAGTTTTACTAAATATTATACTAGTTATTAGTGTTGTACAAAACTTATTCAGAAGACAGAGAGTGCAATGAGCAGAGTTATTCTAGAATCTAGATCAGCAACTGACAATGTTCTGACATTGTTTATTAGATCCTAAAAATTATCCATTGTTATATTATTATTTTCTATTTTTGATAAAATGTGATATAAGAAAAATTTATATTTTTTATATGAAAAACTCAAAAACTCAAAACTCAAAATATCTTTATTCAAGTGGGTAACCAAGTACACTTTTGAATCGTCAAGTTAAATTAATCGTAAATTTACATTTACTACCAGTTCGCAAGTCAAGGGCGTAGAGCGGGTAAGAAGAACTGGCAAGAAACTTTCCGCCACTATTTTTAATCGCCAAGTATTGTCATACAAATTGTTTGAACTGGAGCAATTCAATCCCAAGGATTAGGATCATTTAAGTAGTCCTCAAATTTATAAAAAGCTTTGTTGATTAATTTTCGTTTAACGAGGGCTTTGAATTTATTTAGTGATAATACTCTAATTTCGCTTGGGAGTTTGTTGTAAAAACGAATACAATTTCCATATAAGGAGTGGTTTATCTTTTGGAGCCTGGTTGGTCTTACACTCAAATTAGTTCTATTTCGCGTATTATACTGGTGAAAGTCACCATTTGTTTTAAAATCGTTTATATTTTTTTGGACATACAACAAGGCTTCAAGAATATATTGACCAGATAGTGTCATAATATTTAATTCCTTAAACTTATTCCGTACCGACTCCCTCGGAGAAACACAACAAATACCCCGAACAGCCCGCTTCTGCAGCACAAATATGGATTGAACCTCTGCAGCAGCACCCCACAGTAGAATACCGTACGATATAACGCTGTGAAAGTAGCTATGATAAACAATTTTTGCCGTGTCCTTATCAGTAAACTGTCGGATTTTCTTTACTGCATATGCTGCAGAGCTCAGCCTATTCGAAAGAGTATCTATGTGTGGGCCCCATTGGAGTTTACTATCTATTGTTATGCCTAGAAAAACAGTTTTGTCAACAAAGTTTAGTTCACTGTCCTTTATTTTCAGGTTACCAATATCTCGCTTTACGCTAGTAGTTGTAAATCGAATACATTTTGTTTTATTCTCGTTAAGCAGTAAGTTTTTTACATTAAACCAGTTAACTATACGAGAGATAGAATTGTTTACATCGTCCAATAATACGTTATTCCTATTCACTTTAAATAGAAGTGAAGTGTCATCAGCAAACAATACCATCTCATGAACTTCGTTGACAAAGAATGGGAGGTCATTTATGTAAATTAGAAATAAGAAAGGCCCGAGAATCGATCCTTGGGGGACGCCCATTGATACCTGCGAACCCGGAGAGGTGACTCCATTGACATGAACTCTTTGGATCCTTCCCTTTAAATATGAATTCATCAGGCTGGAAGCTTTACCATCAACGCCATAGTGTTGAAGCTTTCCAACGAGTATATCAGGATTAATAATAAAGGGGGGGATTGGTGGAGGAGTACACTCTACTCACTTTGAATAGTTGAAGGTCGTTTCTCTCAGGGAAGAAGACGACTCTCGGGGGCCGTGAGTCGATTCCACGGTCCACTTGTTTGTAAAAGAAAGTGTCCTGTGCAGCGGAGTGTCATCAAGGTGATGTTGATGAAATTTTGAAATGATACGGCTCGTTCTTAAGAACACTCATCATAGGAAACGCATAGAGAGAAGGAACGAAGCCGATCAGTAATACATTGGAGATTGGCAATTGACAAGTCCTTTGCTGAATTTGGTCAAAAGGAAAAAGCTGGTATTTGGGAGCCCAGAGATGTGAGCAGTATTCCATATGAGGTCGGACTTGACCCTTGTAGAGCTGCAAACGTTGTACCTCAGTGATATTGCTAAGCCTACCCAAACACCCAGCCTTTTGGATGCCACGTTGGCTTTTTCTTTCAGATGGCTGTAGAATTGGCCTTATTTTGATATGCCTAATCCAAGCATGACGCTGTGTTAAGTACTAAGGAGAGCGCCTTCAAATTGAAGAGACTACAAAATGAAGATCCTTTTCCTCTTGGCAGAAAACGAACGAACGAACAGGGTGGGCGGGAGAACACAACCTTGCGGAACGCCTGTATTGATGTCTTAAGTCCGATCGATGGAAGGTTATCAGGGCCACTCGACTTGTGTGTACCAAGGCCAATAAGGCTCTCCAAACACTAGTTTGTTCGAATCGAACTTCAGGCATTGAAGACCCGCAATGCGGAACAATAGGTGTTAAGGTCCCTGAGTCATCGAGCGTGGAGTTAGACGCTAAAAAAACTAAAGGAGCTCTGCTTTCTCTTTCGCCTAGTGAGCCATCGAGTCATCCTCCTCCCCAAGGATTACTTACGCTAATGACCAAAAGGATCAAGCAAGGGGGCATTTTCGCGATCTTCTCACCAATTATGCCTTGAAAATTTCTCGTTTAAGGGTTCGGGAATCCGAGTTAGGTTCATTTTTATGGAGGATACATCAGGATCCTTTACAGCCGTTGCGTGAGCTCAGGTTTCATATAGCTCTAGCTTAAGACGGGAAGCCTCTTTGCAAGAATGACCAAACCATGGCCGATTTACCACGAATCGGAACCACAGAGTATAGGATATAGAGTTCAATTGCTTGTAGCACCACATCGTGGTAAGACTCAGCGCTGCTGTCAGGGTTACTACCCCGAAGCAGACTTTTGACCATGGGTTAGCTGCAAAGAAATGACGCAAGTCATCCCATATGCAAGAGCGAAACCAAGAAAGCCTCTTCCCGAATAGCCGGTCGGTGTATTTGCTATGTACTAATGTTTTAAAAGATATATGTATTTCTCATTAATCCGGTAATATTTAGTCAAAATAGACCTTCGTTAGCGACGTTTCGACTGTGCTTTAGCGCTCGTTATACTTCTTATCGTATATTGTGAGATAATATAACCATCCCATTTTAGCAGACATTAACGCGAAGGAAACACATAGTTTAAGCTAAACTTACTTATCATTTCATAGTATTATAAACCATATTAGCTGAAGCTTGCATACAAACCTAAATAACTCTTGCTCAATTAATAATATATTTTATGCATTCTCTGAAGCACAGTAGGGCTCCCTCGGGATAATAAATAATGTGAAAATGCTTCACAAGGTATATTTGTTTTGCATTTATAACTTTTTTCAAATGAAAACGTAAATGTCATGTTCTTATCACTAGCTGACAGTCGAGACGCAGAGCGCCCACGGGAGTATGGCAAAGAACGTGAGCGCGACCGTCACCGCGACCGTGACCGTGATCGCGATGAAAAGCGAGACAAGCGCCGCGAATCACCGCGTAGGGATCGGGAACGCTCTGAAAGAGATCGTCGCTCGCCACGCAAAGACGAAAAATACAGGTAAATACCAATTGGTGCTATACTACTAAATAATACAATGTAATAGATTGTGACGTTTGACTCCTAAATAAAACTCGACAATTTAGCATAACTGTTAAGAAAATCAAGTTCATTCCTTCATAATAGGATGTTTATTGCAGATCGGATCGTAGTCAAAGGCCTCGTGATGCACCACGTCGAGGATTACTTGGCGACAGACCAGACGATAAACACTCGTCTACTGATAGCAAGGTATTGAAATATAATTAATATAAAAATAATTAAAATTAAAGAATTAAATCTATATCCATATTATGAAAGAACAAGACCTTGTCGGTGTGGCCATTAAGATACATAGCTATTGTTAATCTTAAAGAAAAATTAAATGGCTACCGTTCTAAGAGTTAACGGCACGTTATGTAAACACATATATAGCTACATTGTATTTTATTGTTAACTTAATTTTAGATGCCAGCATTAATGGATCTTAAACCATTTGGAAGTGACGAGCCGCCCAGGTTAAAATCACAAGACGCTCGTGACGCTGTATCTCCCAGGTAATTCATATCTATAATTTTGCCACAGTTTTACTAACCAAATTAGAATTATATAATTAACTAACTAAAATAATTTTTAAATATCGCAATTAACAAGTCAAAGTTTGTTTTTAAATTTTCAGGTTTGTAGATCGTCGGGAACGTGATCATGACCGAGAGCGTGATCGTGGACGCGACCGTGACTCTGAGCGTGACCGCGAACGAGAACGCGATTATGATGGTAGACACAACAGACGTTCTGAAGATAGACGGTATGTATATTCATATACTAAGGACCATATTATTTTTAATTTATTATCCCGCTTAACATTGCTATGTGATCAACAGGTCATCTGGACGCGACAGAGGCAGCGAGAGGTCTCGATCACGTGGTCACGCCTATCCTCCCCCACACACGTAAGATTTGTTTCGATACTACACTACTAGGGTAATTTATACCACCGAAACCATAATATCTTGTACCTTATTGATTTTTAATTATTTATAACAAATATCTATAATATGTATCAATGTCAGTTTAAAATATTTTTATCAGTTAGTTGCATGTTACTTTTTTTAGGTTAAATGAACGAAGATCACCCTCATCTGGTGACTACAGACCGTCTTCATACAAAGTCAATAAGAAGCTCGAGGTTATGGAAAAAATGGGTAAATTATTTTTAAATTAAAGTAAAACATGATTGAAGCTGTAAATTTATAAGTTAAGAGTACCTAAGTGGTATCTTGTGATTTTTATAATCAAGATAATAATTTTGTTGAAAGAAACAATTTTAAATTTATGACAATTTCCTTATATGTATATATTCTATGTTGCAGGATTACAAATCAAAACGCCAGATGGTTCCATGACAACTGCGCAGCAGTTACGCGCTGCTGCTGGTGATAATCCTTCAGGTCTTCCTGGGTATTGCAATCCTGGCTCTAATCCTGCCAGCAAGATATTGGATCAGGTAAATACTAAATTAAATATGAAATAAAGGGTATGTCATCTCATTTGTCTGAATTTTTATTATTAAAACAATTTTTCCTAGTTGATAATGTTTAAGTAATTGTTGTTTAGGAATGCCTCCAGCTACCACTTTATTAGTGCAAATAAAGAAAATAATATTGATGCAGAAATGTTTTCACATACTTAATACAAATTTTGTAATGGGTTTCAGGTACAAAAACGTAAACTTCTCTGGTCAAGCAAAACAAAGACTGCAGAAGAAGAAGCTGCTAAATGGAGTGGGGCACGATTCTCGCAGGACAACGATGGAAAACAAGTGTCCAAGTTTATGAGGCTTATGGGAATTAAGGATCCTAGTATGTGTACTGTAGATATTAATTAATTTTAAGTTTTACCTCTATGAAAGTTTCCAAGGATGCAATAATTCAGTTCAGTTTAATTTCTACAAACTATCTAACTAAAACTATCAAGTAATATTTTGAAAATAATTATATGAAATTACTATTGTTTAATGAACAACTAAATTACAAAAATATTCAAACTATGTAATGCTTTGTTTTCACAGATGCAGTCAAAGGTGAAGTTCCCGAAGATGCAGACCCTAACAAGAAGCAAGAAGAATTGTTCCAAGCTATGCAAGCACAATATGAAGTGGCTCGAGCAACTACACACACTATGAGAGGGGTGGGTTTAGGTTTTCAACGTGGACAGTATTGACAAGTGTAAATATAAGTCAAATCTAAATCGCATTATTCTATAAAATCTTATTCTTAAGCCACTGGAGGTAGTTTCATATTAGAACTACAATAGTCTTTTTATGTACATACCTGACAACGATTTGTATTAACGACAAATTTTCAATATTTATGAAACAAAGAATTTTTGTCCCTTATTAGATATAATGGTCAATTTATTTTTTATGCTTTGTAATCTTATTTTGTTAATGTTTTGTTATTCTATTCATTAATTTTAAACTAGTACATACTGTCTGTATGTAAATGTTTTCATGACATCTGACCCATGTTGCATTTTTATGAGCTCACTGTAAAAAGTCCCCGAAACGATCAATTGCGTTTGCGGGGTTTCCTCAAATGTACAGAAAATATTGAATGTCTTAATAATATAGTTTTAGACAGAGTCAAACATTGAGACTTCTTTATATAAGATTTTTGAAATAAGGGCTTGAGTGAGAATGCCCTTTATAAACCTTATGGTTTTTATTCTTTAAAAATCTTTTGTATCTTTGTTCATGTAAAGAGATGGTATGTGTGATATAGCTTAAGTTATGTAAAAAGAAGTAACTGCAATGTTACCTTTGATTTAAGTATAAGTTAGTGTTATATTTCATAATATGTAATCTTTACAATTATTATTTTTTTGTTTCAATAAAGTTATAATTTACCACTTTGTTTTTTCAATAAGTTTCAGAGCTGTAGAAAAACAATCGACTTGCGAGTTTTATCTTGCAGACTCGGGTTATTAATTCTGGCACAGTACCGAGTAGTGCGTACTCGGACAAGCAAATATTATTCTAAACATCTCATCCAAATTTAAGCCATAATGTACAGCATAACCAAGAAAACGTCGAAGAAAATTGTTAAATTTATCGCTAAATCAAAGTATGTATTATACCATTAAAAAAATGTATGTACGATAACAGTTGAGTTAAATTTTACAAACAAAAAGTCCAAACTATAATTTGTTTTAAATAAACTCGGATTTTTTACATATTTAAAGCTTACCCTTTGAAAATAACAATACATAATGAAAAGCAAATTTTTGTAATATAACCTATGATACTAGTAATAATTGGTACACAAGCTTTCATTTATATGTTTCCTCGCAAGGTTCAAGGGGCATTCTGACAATGAAATTGATAGGCTCATTTTATTACGTAGTGTAAAAGAATATGTAATCGTAGTAAGCGCTTGTACCCATAAATCCGCTAAAATTTGAAAAAGTGGCACAGACTAATTAGAAAATATATTGTGCTAGATCGCTAACTGCTGAAATGTGTTTTATTTCAAAAGATTATATCATATGGATAGATTTTGTTTTATTTTAAACCTTTATTATTATCTATTTATAAATTAAACGTCAACGTATAGAACGTTCAATATTTTGTGTTAAACTTTTGTAAACACCAATAAAAAATGACTTTTCTATTTTGACGTTTAAGCGGAAACGGTAGCGTACATTTCTCATAAACAGCTGTTTCACAGAGTACTTTTTAATATTAAATGATAAATCAAAACAATAACTCTAGAATGGGATTACCCGTAAAGTTTTCAAGAATATATAAAATTGTAACCTACCAACAAATTCTCAATCACTTGTAGTTTTCAAACTTACATAAGCTTCTTTACAGTTAAATACTTACTTGAGTCTCAACATTGTTCGATGCAATGTTTGTTTGAACACTTGTCATTATTTTCAAACATTGTAATTTGAAGACAATTAGGTAATTCTAGGAATATAGCAAGTAATTTTTTATATGAAATATTGGAAAAATGGACGTAGGAGAAATGAAGACGTGCGGAAACTGGTGAGTTGAGTCACAAATGTAGTTGTTGTGGCAATATAAAATCTATTTTGGTAATGATACGTTGTTAGTTTATTTTTGGATATTTGGAGCAAAATGTACATGTGTGGTGCGTTTATCCGGTTGTTTACCTTTAGGCTGAACATATTCATCTTATAAAGTTTGTTTTAATTGAAAAGACTATTTCCTTTACTTTAATTTGCAGTAAATAAATATAAAAATATAAAATTCTTGTACAAAAAATACTTCTATTCAATTACTTCATAGCATATTTTGTATACTAGGCAGTGGTCTTTAATTAGTAAATTTATCTATAGTTTTCTCTTAACAATACCAGTTCATCTGTTATCTTCTCAATATGAACTATAAAGAAATAATTTAAAATATTTTTGTATAAGCAAACGGGATATACCAGCAGTGAACTTCACAATTCATACTGTACACTGTGCAAGGAATATCGGCATGTGCCCTGTCTGCAAGGAACCGTTTCCCCATTCTGAACTGCAAGAACATCATGAGAAGATGCATAAACTATGTAAGGCACTTTTAAGTTTGAAATATAATTTATATAGCATAGGATTTCATTATTGTTTAAAACATAGGCAAACTTACTGTTTGACTATTTTTTTTGGGTATAGTGCCTTGTAAGCAGTGTGGAGATAGTGTCTGTGGAACAGATTTGGAGGATCACATCAGAGACTCCTGTGCGCACACAATGCAGACATGCAGGTATCAGTCTAAATTTTACTTAAATTAACAACAACTGCAACTTTCTAACTTAGTGCCGGGCCCTACGAATGTCTTGGTGCTCAAACAGAATACCCACTCTGATATTCAAACTAATATTGTGTAATACACAGTAGTGTTATCCTAGTGGCTAGGTGCATGACTCTGAACCTTCAGGTTGTGTGTTTGCAGGCTTTGCTTCAATGGAGTTATTCACTCTATTCTCTCACTCGTGTTGGCAATTGATACTTAAACAAACCAGTGGCGCTATAACCTTTGGTCCAGCTTGTGTTCGAAAGTACGACCTCAGGGATGAGAGTCTTATGCTCAAGCAACTACACCAATACTGCTCTTTTATTTATAATTGAACAATTAATACACATACGGTATAACTAAACAAAATACTGAGTAAACCAAAACGTTCAAGTTCAACAGTCGACGGCGTGTGTTTTTAAACGTATAAGAACGTCTTTTTTTATTAAAGATACTGTAACTTGGATGTTCGTCGCGGAGAGATGCCCGCGCATGAGCGTTACTGCGGCGCACGCACGGAACAATGTGAGGAATGTGGTGAATGGGTTATGTTGAAGTACCGTCGATTGCACACTGAATCCAACCATGGGTTTATACGATTGGATGATGGTACGTAGATGGATATAAAATTAATAAAGCGAACATTCGTGTATCTAGCGTTATTTTTAAGTCTACTACCCTTTTCGATAAATCGACCCATAAAAACCATTTTTGCTTCTGAAAATTGTCGACTTAACATTTTTATTAATATTCCTCCATGCACCCTCTCAACTACGATAACATTAACCACTCACGCAAATTCTGGCCAAGTTATGTGCGTGTGTAACGAGTTTTTTACATCAAAATTAAAAATAAATTTACCGGATTAAATTGTGCGCATTATTTTTCTGGTAATGTTTCCTGAAAGCCTAAAAATGTATTGCCATTCAATTCTTAAAAATTCCACACTCTAACAATATTTTACTTAAAACATTAACCACTTCTTTTCTAGATCCAGTACCATTTAGACGAGACAAACCAAAGAAGGTTATAAACGACTGGCCACAAACAAACGGAATAAAAAAACAAAACATCAACAATGGGTTGAATCGCATGCCAGAACTACGTGATATACAACCAAGTACTTCAAAACCAAGTCTTGCTAATGTGCCGGTCAATGCTTTTAAGGAGAATATAGAACCGAGGCCGTCTAGTTCTACCAACGGAGCAGTCCCAAAACCAAAGAGAACTAATGATCAGCCACAGATTAATACAGCAACTATGCCTACCAATAAAGTTAAGAATATGTAAGTATATTTAATATTGATATTTTACATTTATTACTTGACACATAATAGAAGCAAACACTTTTTAATATACAGAATCGCATATTATCTCCTTGTGGAAATTATTGAGTTAATCTAGTGTCGGAAAAATATAGGTTATTTCAATGATTTAAATCTCTGACTGAAACAACAGTGTTGCTACAAAACTTACTACTTTATTTGATTTTTCAATTGAGGTTCCCACCAATTCATATAAGAATTAAATAATATTGCTGAAATAATAAGCTTGATGAAAGTTTTATGAGTAAACAATCTAAAAGTTCATAAAGATTATGAGAATTAATAATATTAGAATATTAAGAATAACGTTAGTAGATGCACGTGGGAAAATGCGGATAGTTAAGCGACGTTTCCTTCTAGGACTGCATCTCGGGGTGCGATAAAGAAGCGCCCTGCCCCTAAGCCTCCCGCAGTCGCCCCAAATCCAGACCCAAAGCGTGACTTGGCCCTAACAGGCGCTCTTCAAAGACAACAAGAAGAGGAAAGAGAACGCAGAGAAAGAAGCGAGCAGAATGTTGTTCGCGGTGAGTGAACAAGGATCACTATATTCATTAAAAAGCCTCGAACTTCAAGCTTACGTACAGTTTTGATGATGACTCAATTCTTTCCTTGAGAATTAAACATGCGTATTTTCTGAATGGGTAAATCAAAAGTATATGTTATGTCGATTAAGATTTGATGATGTAGAAATTATGGAAACACATGTGTAGGTAGTAAACAATGGTAGGTACTTACAATAATTTTGGCATTGCTAGTGTCCATGGGCAGTATGTACAACGTCAGCATTTTGTTCGTTTGTCCTCTATTCTATGGAAATTACAATATGTGTGTGTGTATATGTATAAAATATATTATGCAGACTATATGCATATGATTTTAAGAACTACGAATCAGTATCTATCTTTATTTACTAGTTTTAGCACCCCTGTCAGACATAACACTATAATATTCTGTTATTACACAATAAAAACATTTACCAATTAAGAATCAAAGTCAAATCATTTATTTCAATTAGACCACCTAAAATGGCACTTTTGAACATCAAACAAAATACAAAGAAGATTCTAGTTGCCCCTTCCGAAAGGTAGTTTCGTGTGGAGAAGAATGGGCAAGAAACTCGACACTTACTCTTTTAAAATAGGTTTACAATATTTTGTTTACAAGTTAAATAATCTAGTTTTTAATAATGTTACTTCAGGATTGCCTCCAATACTAAATCCGTTAGAAAAACTGGAGAAATTGAGGAAAATGGACGCTCTTCAGAACAGAGAAGTAGAAGACCAGAGCTATAAAGACAAGTTGAATGGACGCGTCTGGATGAGCAGGGACGTTCCCATAGGAAATTTGCTGGGGGCGGGACCAAGTGGTAAGTGTGTTGAAAGTATTTTTAAATTGTTTGCAAAAATTAGTTAATAAAGCTGCTGTTACTTTGTCACTTTAGTACATACATTATTTAGAGAACAAAGAAGTTTCTTTTATCTATAAACAAAGAATGATTATGCAAGATATCAATAGGATGTGTTCAGACTTTAATCATCGCTTACGTAGGTGGTAAAGTAGTACCTACAGTGTATATTATGTGTGGTTCTTATCACTGTTATCGACTGTTTTTAAAAATTACAGTGTAAACACTTTCCCTTGACTGTCGTTATATAGATATAACGACAGTCAAGGGAAAGTGTTTATTTTGACGTTACAAAGAGTTGTCGTTAAATAAAATCTGTATTAGAAAAAGTTTATTTCAGACTAGTGTTAGTAATTACATAAAAACTATTCTTATTTGAACGCTATTGCGTATGTGTTTGTCTGACGTCTTTTGCTACACCAGTAATTATGCTGTATTTTTTTAAAATTCATTTTGCGATAAAGAACGTGCAAGCAAAGAAGTTTCGCTTCTGACATGTGTACTTTATACGCACGCACTTTTTTATTTATTTCTTCGATAGTAAAAACACGTGGTATTTGAATTTACGGTTCGTCATTTGAGATTTCAATAAATTATTTTGGATAAAATACTAATATTCCATAAATTGTCTTTACGAAATTTTAATTTTAAAAATAAAATTTCTATAATCAGGTTATTCGCCCTTCTCACTCTATATCAATCGGTCTCTCCCTTTTCTTCGACAAAAACGCTGCACATCTTCGTGACGCTAATATTATTATTGCGTTTCATCCGTAAAAAATTTACTCTCATGCGCCTAAAGAAGTTTTACTTCAAAAATTTAACTATAATTTCTATTTTCGACATTTTTAATATGTTAATGACAATTCTAATTTCATGAAATTCCTAACATATCTTCCTTACCTCCCTCTAAGTCTCGGAAATCTAAAGTTTTAGATTTGTATAAATATGAACAAGACTTAAAAATTTGTTTGCCAAAGAAGTTACACTTCTGACATGTGTACTTTGTACGCACGCATTTTTTTTTATTTAATTGTCGTTATTGAGTGTAATGCTATTTAAAGTGTACCGAAGACAAGCTAAACCAAACAATTCCGAGTAATTTCGACGCTTTAGGGGAATTGTCGTTAAACCAAGGGACGTTACATGTTGCTTACACTGTGTATCAATTTTATTACGGACTGATTTGTAGCCGATAAAAATTTTAAAAGTGAAAAATTTAAGTAAAATATTTAGCAAATTAAGGCTTAAAATAACATTTGAAATGCAGAACCTCCTAACAACCTGGAAACAGAGAGACGTCGCAATTTACCCTTACAAAAAGGAAATTCAGAAAGACAGAAGATAAAACTCAAAAACCTGAAGCCTATGACCGAAGACGAGTTTATAGAGAGATTCAACTACTTGCATATGAAAGAGCCACCGAGGAATAGAGAGGACCGGTTTAGTCAGATCAAGTCGTCTCTTAGGGAACTAAGGCGGGGTTTGAATGAGGTAAGATATGTTTGTTGTGTGTGTATACGTAAAAAAATATAATTTCGCCTGTACTTACCCAACCCCGGCTTTATATTTATTTATACATATAAAGCTTCGTGCGTGCGTTTGTAAACTCAACGTCAACGGTTGGACCGATTTTGATGATTTTGCTTTGGGTGTGTCAGAGAATAGATTAGATTTAAAATAAGAAGATTTGTTTTTGTTTGAAATTTAATGCCATGTTACAAGACGTCTGTCGGGTTCGCTAGTATTTGTATAAAAGTTACAGCGCGTGGTTGCAGAAAAGAATCAAGAGAACCAGTTTGCAAATCAAGGGCCTAAAAAGGACTAAACAAATCTGGCAAGAAACACTCCACCTCACTTTTTAACCGCCAAGTTTTTCGTGTTTTAGAAAAAGCTGCAAAGTCGCGATATTGGCAAGCCCTAAAATCTGTAATTTTATTCCCTTAGATCACGTTAGTAGTGAAAAAATGTACTAGAAGCCCTTAAATATCTGTTATTTTAAAAGTCTTTTAATTTTAAACAGTAAAAATTGAGGTTGGAAGGAAATTTGTACTAAATCCCGCGTCAATTCGAACATTTCATTTCACTATCTAGAAAAATCTCTGAAGTATTTTAATCATGCGTAAAAATTCGGCACACTTGCATTGTCTAAATAGCCCCCGATAACAAATGTTGATTATGTGTTTAGTTGCGGTTATAGCAAAAAAAAAAAAGAAAAAACAAAAAAAAAACCAACAACATAGCAAACGTTGTTGATTGAATACTGTTGATGTACAATTGATGTTATTTGACATTTCACCTACAATTTTATTTAAATAAGGGCTCGTTCATGTGCTGGTCTATGATTCGTCGACATTTATAGTTTATATTATATTTCCAGGTAACAGCGCCTTATAATGCAAATTCTAATGTGGATTTGAATCAGAAGTGAGTAATTGAAAGTAATGCAATAAATATGTTCTTGATTGATATAACAATTAATATTATTAAAAATCTAACTCTAGGAAGTTTAATTTAATCCTAGATTTTGAATGTTGTGGTCACATTAGTTGAAATAATTATAATCTTTTTAATTAGTCTTCTGTGCCTTTGTGTGTTATGTTATGTGCTTAAATAAATAAATAATTGAATTTAGGCGATGGTACATAAATAACTATCACGGTGAACAGAACAGCCGTGCTCTTGTAAGTTTCGAGTTGGAAAAAACGGAACTGTTACTACGTATATTATGTTTGTCATTAAAAAATAGATTTCTCAATTATATAATGTATATTTTATTAATATTTTGCAAAGCCTCGAAAATGGAATTTTATGGTAAAATCTCAAATATCTTTAAATATCATTTATTCATATTGGTTTCACTATTAATACTTGTATATTATTAAATTAAAATCCAATAAGTCTCCGACGCTTGTCGAAAAAAACTATTTAAATGTATTTTCCAATTTCAGCCGTAATACGCCCTCACCAGACGATGAAGTAAAGTTGCCTTGCGAATTTTGTGGAGCACCAGTGGCTGCTGATATTCTAGTCCAGCATCAGGTAATTTTATAGAAGTCTATATTTACAATTGAATTATATATATGTCGGAGAGATATCGTCGCCTATCGATATGGACAGCGTTATTAGCGGGTTGACCATAATCCACCATCTGAGATAGCAATCTTAATCCAAATGTTGTAACAAGCGTGCCACTAACCAATCGATGGATTGTAATAGCCATCTGTCGATACAAGCTATCCATGGAAGGTCGTATCGGTGTCTGTGGATATGACCTTTGTATGAAAATGAAAGTTGACGAAAGCTCGACATCAACAGTTAATTATTTTAACAGATTTTAACTTACGCCAGTTTTTTAAATAATTAAAAAACTGTTTGTTATGATTTAAATATACACATTATAATTTTAATGTTATTTGTACGGTTTTATTTACTTTATTTGGTTTACATTGATTATCAAATATGAGTGAAAACTCGGTAAAATTCGGCCAAAGAGCATTTTTACCTTCGCCAAAAATGGATTGTCTTCGTAGGGTTTCGTTATTGGGATGCAGATAGGAGATCAATCGATTGTCACGGTCTGATGAAAACAATCTGAGATTGTGGATTGATTATTGGGTTCGTGAGTTATATGACGTCATGTGGGTAAAGTGCGAGCACAAAAGACTCGAATAATTATCGTACCGTATTTAATTCGGATTGATTCACATTTAACGTTACAAATAACGAGCCGCGGGTTCAAGGCACCGATCTCACTTTTAATCACAATCTGACCACAAATCACAGACCCAACTTGGTCCAACGTCTCATCACCATAATGCTCCACTGAATACTCAATTAGAACTACCTTGCGTTTTCTGAACGCACTGTCTAAAGTCAAGATGGCCCACTCGAGGCATTTGCTCGGCTCGGATTGGTCGTAACGATATTCGTACTTTTATTCGTTAAGTAATTATTCTTAATTATGAAACAATTAAATAATAAAAAGGGTGCGTGTACTTATGTACGCGCGTAAGAAGTTATACTTCTTTGGCATTATTAAAAATAGTTTGGCTTTGTTCCACCTCCAGTTTTTGATGTTTCACAGCGATAAGATGAAAACTCTTTTTGTATTCAATTTAGTGCAGTTAACTGATTCATCAATTTTTTGTCTCTTTTCTTATATTTGCTAGATAAAATCAAGGGGAAAAATTAAATGTTTTGATTAAACAATTGGTTAATTTTTTAATCAAAACATTACTCGATAATAATAATAATACATACGGATAGTTAACCTCAATTGTATTGAAGCACTTAGGAAGGTTGATGAGCACAGTTTTTTCACAAATATTAATTAGTATTGGTTTAAATATTCAATTTAAATCACTTCTGATTATAATTCAAAAAAGCATTGCTAAATTTCTTTGAAAAATAATTAAAACTCCTTTATTTGTTTAAAAGGTAAATGACAAATGTCATTATGTCATTCAAAATTCTTGGCATACGAACTTCACGCATATTCTATTTTTTTTACTTGTAGATTGTCTTATTCCTATCTTACGCTATAATCACACTCCTAATTTTTGTAATGCATCATAAAATTTCACTCTCATAATTTTTTATAAGGCCTAAAGAAGTATAACTACAATAACAAAATAAATAGAGTCAAATAAAATTATGATTCTTAAAAGTAATTGAAGGAATCTCCATTATTCTTCAAAGTAACAATAATAATAATCAACGGTCATGTGACTGGATCAGAACATTTCCTGATAATCCGAGCATTACCTGACTATATGTATATATATATATAAAAATTGTTTAATAATAAAGCTGTATTCATGACAGAAATATGGTTGTGACAAAATTGATCTAACGCTAGTCTCCACTCGAGTATTGTGGGTAAAATTATTCCGTGGTATTCTTTAAAAAAAAATTTAATACAGCATTTTTAAATATTTTTTTAAAGAAAAAGTAGTCTTTGTGTTAATTAAATAAAACTCGTATACCGGATAGGACCATAAGGACCTATCCGGTCGCCAAACTCCAAAAAAGTAAATTGTTTCTTTCCATTTTTTGTCTTCGTTTCTTGAAGTAGGGCTAATGAAAAAAATATATGGTGGAGTTGAGTAGTTTATGTATCCATTTTGAAAGATAGATACACTATTTAAATAACTTATTGTTATTACGGGTCGGCGCGCCTCAGTGTCCAGCTCTCCAATGCGCCCCGCAGTCCACCCCGAGACACAGACACAGCAATTCAAGCTGGGATAGGGCCTTAAGTATGCGTGAATGTATGAGTATGTCTATGGGTGTAATATACTCTGAGTAATAATAATAAACTCGGAGTTGTTAAAAGCGTGCGCTGTGTCTGTGTTAGTTTTTGGTACCTCAGAGTCATGCTAAAATAGTAGTATTACTTATATTGATTTTTAAGAAATATCGTTACTTAGTATATACTAGTTACGTACTAGTTAGTTTATTTAACTATCACAACCCTTACGTGCTCTCGAAGTTTCTGTGAACCAATGAATTTTTCTGTGTGGTCTATATATTAACAATATTCTCTCTGCCCTTTCAGACCGGGTGTCGTCCGGACCTGGCCCGTTTAGACGTTCGTAAAGTTAGAGGGTCCCCTCCGCCCCTTAGCCCCGTCACCCCTCCAGATTCACCCCCACATGGAGCAGTGATTCCTTGCGAGTTTTGCGCGAAATCACTGCCTATATACCTCATCAGTGAGCACCAGGTGAGTTACTAGTATACTATTAATTTTCATATAATTTGATGAGAAAATATGTTAGCAAACTTTAAACTGTATTAGACCTTGTTAAATACTATATCTTTTAGTCTGGAATTTTTATCGCTGGTTTAAAGGAACTCTATGTTAGTGTTAAATATCGTTTTATACTAAATATACATGTATGGGAGCGTTCTAATATTACGTAACGCAATTTGGGGTGAGGGGGGAGTCTTTTGAAACGTTACAAAAAACGTTATGGTGCGTTACATGGGCGGGAGGGAGCTTCTAAAATCTTTAAAAATTGCGTTACGTAATATTTGATTGACTTCCCTATATGATAACCACGGAATAGATGGATGTTGTATTGGATGATGGGTATTGTAGATACCGCAATCGTGCCGCGTGTTTTAGCAATCATTTTTCATAGATACGAGTATGTATACGAGGAAAAAACGAGACTAATTCTATTAAAAATTCCAACAAAAGTCTTTCTAACGAAATTTATTCTATAATGTTAACATGAACAAAACGAGACCCGAGGAAATGCGAATGTAAAACGAAAGACAAAACCGTGCCTTAAATTGTCCAAGCATATACATCACATCCAACGGAACGCGCCGTCTTTTATTTAATATTCTAATATTATTAAAATATTCTCACCCACGGTTAGTCTCCGACCAGGGGGAAGAACGTAAAAATAACAAAAAAAAACGAAAGGCGCTACGTTGCGCATCTTTTATCTAATACTTGTAGAGAAAGGACAGAATGCGTCATGTCATTGCGTCCGTTTGACCAATAACTCCATTCTCATTTCTCTTCAAATCTTCTCTCTCAATCAATCTCCTCCTACAGTTCCCTCTGCATCGGAAATAATGCTTAACTTTGTATACTATTTTCAGGAACGCTGCGGACGTGAATCGAATTTACTTTTTGCGGATTAAAATGCCGGTATAGTTTACAAATAAAAGTTTCCTATTTTTCATACGTGAGATCAATGGTCACAAAGATATTTTTGTCTGTAAATCATATCTTGTAGAAAAATAGTGTTTCACATTTGAAACTTCTGTATAACCAAATGTGAGTAAAAATTGTTTATTAGTAAGAATCATTATCTATAGATTAAGATTGTTACTCAAATTTATAATTGTTTAGCTTCAAGCACACATTATGAATGAAAATCTCAATTTAAAAGATTGGCTGGTTACCATATTGTTAAAGATTTTTCGTAGTAGGATCTCTATAGGCATGTGCAAGACATTAGAAACATGGTAACGCCCAATTATGAACTTTAGCTCTCTTCAAATAAGTACTTAACTTTATTAATATATGTAGTTCACAAAGAGGGCTGCAGTTCTGCCATATGTCAAAAGAAAGTGCCATAAGTTTGTCGAATTATTAAACGAAAGCTCTCTTAGCAAAACTAAGATTTTAATTTGTCGAACTGATGGTACAACCAGTTTGTATAGGATTGTTAACGTGTTGGTGATATTATGACATCACATTAAATAGACCATAGTTTTAGCCGTAAATATTAATAGGTATAAATTTCTATTATTTTTTATATACTAGGCAGGATTTCATACCCTCGACTTTTATAAAATATATTACGTATTTAATTGATTTTTAGACTTTTTTCAACATTTGAAAAGTAAAGTGAGCTTATAATATACTACTATCGTTGTCTTTTTGTCTTTCTCCTATTATATAAGTATGTTTCTTTTTGTGATATATTTCTAATTTAATAAGTTCGTCGCTTATGAGGGTAGTTTTCCACCTATTTTCATGAACAATAGCGACTAAATAATACAGCTCAATCATTTGACAATAAGCTGAATATTTTGCAAGACTGCCTTTGTTTCTATATGTGATGTAACACGATAAGTCCAAGAATTATGGGAAATGCCGAAATCCTTAGGTACAAGATGCAAAGCAATACCTTCTGTGACCGAAATAAATATAGTTTACCAAAATGCAATGATCGCAGTACACACACTGAGGTCACAAGAGTGTTCAGGAAAAACTCCTGAGGGCGAGAGTGTGAAGCAAAAGAAGCAACGTTTCAAAGGAAGGTACAGGTCAGGTACAGGTCTGAAGGTTTTTAGCACCCCTAACTGTGTTACAATTGAATTCAAATCTTCGTGGACAATAGGTGCTTTATCATCCAACCTAAAACATGATTACATTCATTGCAGTAGTGATCTTCGACAGTTTATATTATTTAAGTGTTTAAATGTAAAAAATGTAATGTATTTGCATGTCATTTTTGTGTAGATTGTTAAGTGCCAAACGTAAACCTTGTATCTAACAAAATAGTTATACCTAAATGTATCATTGTGGAATAAATGACCTCATACTGTTTAAACCGAAAGACGTAATGTTGGGCGCTCGTTTGGTGAGTGTCAACTGTCAACAGCTTGTCTATTGTCTAGTGACGCAACTCAATCAGTTTGACAAATAACAATGACAGCGCGCCATTTTTCGTTTATCATATTAACAAGGGTCTACACAATTCCTAAGAAGTTCTTCCTAATGTCACAATTCATTATACAAATTAAATTAAGTATATTTTTATAAAAGTATGTAAATGTATCAAACGGGATTCAGTTAATAATTTTATGTAATTTAATATTATATTTCGTTATTTTTTTGTAATCCATATCTATATTCTTTAATTAAGGTTGAATGTTTTTGCCAAAAGAAAATTATGTATAAAAAAATTAAGAGGTTTTCAAATATTTAAAATGAATGTCTATTTTATGTACTGAATTAAATAAAAGTGAACTTTATTTTATTAGTTTTATTTACCTAGTAAATTGCCGCCATATAATCGGCACTTGGTGATAATGTAGCGGATCTCCCTGTCCAAGGAACAACTTCATATTATTAGAAATATATGTTTATTTTGTCATCTTAATTCGGTCCTTGCTTAAAAAAGTATTTACTCTTGACTTCAAGGCACTAGCAAGATTCAGGAATATTAAAAGATGTATCAGTCTTTATTACGATAATATAATAAGCATACTCATTGGCCTCTTTCTGTTATTCACATGTCATTTTGTAATAAAGCAAAATAAAACAAGTTCATTAACATTTAGATAATTTATTCAAGACCTTAAAATAATTATCTACAGTTCGATGACTTCCAATAGTTATATAAACTTATACTAGAGCGAATCACGGTGGGAATATTTTTACAATAGATTTTATGTAATGTTTACATAACTGTTACCTATTAGTACACAAGTTATATTGCAAGGTAAATGCGTACGCTAACGTCGTTGCAAAATATACTAACTATTTAAACAAATGTTTGTCTAAAATCCAAATTTTGTGATTTTTTATCAGCGTCCATCTTGTCTCTTATGGAGATTCTATTCGATGATTAGCGATGTAATTTTTATATTTACAAAACGTTAATTTGGCAATAATCTAAAAGCAACACAGAAAATATTCATTTGGACACCGAGGGACCGTGATTTGCAGTTTTGGGCAGTTCCAAATTTTCTCGCATCGACAATGACTTTTAAACTTTCTTTTTCCCGTCCTTTCTACCAAATTCGTCGTCGCAATTCCGTCAAACACGCTGGCTTTGTTAAAATAGCTTAATTTTGATACGAATTTGGGTTTTGGTTTGATAAAAGATGGTTTTCGTGGAATTGTTTTTACTGTTGTTGTTATGGGTACAACTGTGGATGTTTGTTGTGGCGTAAGTTCAATTAAATCTGTAGTTGTTTCTAACTGGTCAAATTCTGTTGTAAATTCAACGCTATCGGTCAGGTTGACTTGTGTTACATCTCGGCTAACGGGGTTTTCAAGCGGGGGAATTTCTTTCTCCTCAACTAATGTATTATTCGAGTCTGTAACATTAGTTGTATTAGGTAAGGGCGCTACACTTGCGCTGCCTTGGAAGTCTTGCGGCGCTGCAAGGGCAGCGCTGATTGACAGGAACACTGGAATTAATGACCTGAAATATTTGTTTATTTAGTTTATATTCGTTGCTATAATAGTAAGTCTAGGTGACTTTATTTCCTTTACACTAGATCTCTAAAGCTTGTCAGTATTTTATGCTACTTCATAACAATATCAAGAACGTATGTAAGGAATTACTTAAATCGCAAGGATTTTAAGAAAGGTTAGCATTTCCTGAAGGAAATGTAAAATTGCAAGCGATCAAGCGTAAAAGTCGTGTCTTTTCGATATAAATTACACGTCCTATGTAACGCTGGCATTGAACACGCAATTTAGCGTTTTGAATATAGCTTTCAGTT